GTGGGGATAAGCAAAATAATGTGACAAGGCTAAATGGCGGAGCTGACATTGCACAACTCCAGCGGGCTGGCTGAAAGGACATGGCCAAACGCCAGGCCAAAGGAGGAGGGCCTGCAGGTCGTCGGCAAGGCGACGCGGTCTAGATTTCTATATCTTCAACTGACTAAGCCAAACTTTTGTGACTTTTAATTGCCGTAAAATGTAATTACACCACGTTGCCAGCTAGTTCCCCATCCTTGATCTTCATTCGGAAAGTAAGCTGCCTCGCAGTGTTTATGATGCGAGCGGGAGTAAATCATAGACTAACTAAAATGTTCTTAAAATTTATTGCCGCAAAAACAACATTTAAGTCGGTGCAGTGCAGTGGGGCGAAAGATCTAAAATCGACATGTTTCAATCGAGAATAAAGCACACACACACACTCTCGCTAGTCGTACGAGTCCTTGTTACAAGGATTACATTGCTTAACTGTCCGTACTTCTGAACTTGCTCGAACTTACTTATTCAAATGCATTGTAACTTTAGTGTGTCCGCAGTTGTGCGAGTGTGTGTGCAGCTTAAAAAGTTGCCATGACTTTCGGGCACTGCCATTACTGAAAGGTATCGAGTATTGTCTGGTCATGGCTGGGATTGGTTCTGGCTAACATTAAAAATAAATAAAATTGCCTTTTCACGAAATCGTAATTGTAAAATAAGGTTGGATTATAATGCTCCAACCATATAGCCGAATTATTTGCAATAAACCAATCTAACAGCCAGCCCAATATGCACTTGGTTCCCATTCTTCCACGGGTCCCAGTCGATGGCATTGTTCTACATATATATATAGCATTGAACATTCCACAGCCATAACCATATGGGGGATTCGGCCAGAGAATTGTTCAATTGCCAGAACATAAACGTGTGCGTGTATTTTTTGGCCTTTGTTAGTTTGATTTAGGCGGCAGTATATATGAATTATTATAGTTAAATATGGATATTTATTGCGATTTCGGGGGCGATTGTTGCAATGCGAGAGGGTTTCGACCCCGAAGTGCAGCTGAGGCGGAAAGCTCTTGATCTGCCGGACCATCGGGTGTGTGGGGACACCCATAAATGCACAGTGGAGCATTTGAATTTTATGGCTGCCTTTAGTTCCATTTCGAAGTTGCCTCATTTCAGTAATATTCCTTCTTTCGAGTGCTCGCCGGCAAAAGGCAAACGAGAGCCCGCAAATTTAATTGCACAAAAGTTTTGTCGAAAACCAAAAATGATGAAATGAGCAAGTTTCTCATTTGTGGCTTTTTGACTAATCAAAATGGGTAGAGAGATGCGTTTTAATTGCAACTGCAACTCTTCCGAAAATCAAAGAAAAAACTTCACTCGAAAGCAATTACTTTTAATGCGAAATATTTTAGACTTTCATCGGAATGTCAGCATTGGGCTGCTGCCGGACAAAACAATCAAATTAAAAACTAACAACCAGCCGAACTCCAATGCAGCAGGCGAGCACAACTACAGAGTTCTTGGAAAGCACATTGAATGTAAGCAAATATGGAATTTTTGGTCCGGAACTCAAGTCGTAGCCCCTGGCTCAAGCCATAAATTGTAACGGCTTTTGGCCCTACCTTATGCAGATTTGTTTAACTTCAAAAGAACCAACAAATTGCCCGGCCATTGGCTCTGCTCTGCTCTCTGCTCCTCGAGCTGACTTTTATTCGGCTTGCTTTCCGGGTCTGCTTTCCGTTTTTATTTTCCCTCAAACATTAATCCACTAAACCGTAAACAAACGATGGCAGTCAACAAAGGGCCAACATGGCGTATGAGCTATTAAGTGTGGCACATGTGTGCGTGGGTCTAGCCATATTTTAAGCCCCCCTGCACAGCCCTGCTGTTTCCATTTATGTTTTCTATTTTTTACCGACTGCAACTGCAAGTCGTTTTCACTTCGAATTGCATCCCTCCGGGATTTATGGCTCTGCTAAGAGCCTTAAAGTTGCGATTTTAAAGGAAGGATTTACCGCCGTTTGAGGATTCTTTTTCGTTGTAAGGAGTGAAGAGTAGTATTTGAAAAGACTGCATTAAAGCAATTAATAAGATTCGCCCTTTATTGAATTTCCACCAATCACATAAGCCGCCCAGATTATACACTGGCATTAAATATTTAAAAATAATTCCACTTGCTTTGTGCGGCAAACTTGAAATTGTGAAATTAAATATTTATTTGCTCGCTGAAAAGTTTGCGCAGCCCGAAGTGCTTATCCTTTCAGCAGAGTCACAAGGTCGAACCGCAGGGGAACTTGCCTTTCATTGGCAATTTGTATTTGTTTGCCCGTTGTTGCCCTGTAAGTATTTTATTTGAGAACCAGCACGAACACCAGTGCTGCCAGCCCCAGCAAGCGGCAATGAAAGTTAAACAATGTTTGCGGCTTTGCTATCCGTTTCCGCAATAATTTCTCGGATCCGCCTGCGAGCGTTTTGTGTCCTTGACACAATTTCCCCGGGAAAACTTTTGATTTTCCCACAAGATAATTCGCTAGCTGGCAAGTGGGAAGGGGTACGGGGGAAGTGGGCGTGGCACTGGGTCGCGGCCACTTAAAGTAATGCAAAAAAAGGAGGCAGCGCGCAGCAATCCAAATAAGGAAATCAAAATGGCAGGGCAACATAAAAGGCAAGCGAAAATTGAACATCCTGCAGCAGGATGCGTTGCGTCTTGGCGGCTGTGAGGGAAGCGCCAAGACCAAGACCAAGACAGAGCAGTTCCAGCCAAGACGAACACCATAATTATGGGTGACCGCGATAAGGAGGAACCCTGAATGCCAGGGAATTGTGCGAGTCCACTCCACGTTGCACGGGACAATTGCCGCCAAGGACTTTGCCCAAGGATTCCAGCCGGAGTGGGTGGCATTTTCCTTTGTGGCACAAGGAGGGGTCTCCTCGATCCCGGACGACTGGTCACCCTGTATGGAGATGAAGACCGAGATGGAGACGGTGCCCCACTTTGTGCAATGAGAAATTTCCGCTCGCTCGTTCCTTTTTTGCTTGAAGGATGACATTTTTGCAAATTGCCATCATAATAATAATCAAATTCGTGTAAATTTGTTTGCAAATTCAAGAAGGAAATGGTGTCAGCTGGCCCAGTTCTCCTTCCCGCTAGCCGAGCGGCAGATACAGATGGTTTGGGATTATCAAGTTAATAGCTTTTCTCGTTCTCGTTCTCGTTCTCGTCTCAGTTGAATGCTGATGAAATTGAAAACATAAACTACACAGAAGTGCGGCACTGGGAACAGGCTCTGCAGTGCTTATGGAGGTGGCCCTTTCACATTTGTGGAATGTAAGCCAAATTATTTCTCCTCTGCAACGGATGGCAATTAATTAAGGCCCAAATATGGCAGTAAATATGATACACAAAGCTGCTTCAACGGCAACGCCCTTGGGCAGTTAAAAGAGATTTCTTGTCAACTCCAATGACGCATCAAAGGATTTACACATTATCATAAAAATAAATTTAAAATGTCCATAATCTGTTATGAGCTATGCCCAAAGTAGCAAAGTGTCTTCCCCATACAAATTAAAGCCCTACTCTATTAAATATAATGCAGTGCAGCTCAATTCTGAGGAAGCTCTGGGGAAATGAATTACAACTTTAAATTGACTTGTCTGCCATTCACACTCTCCGTCGCCCTGGCCCCGCCTTTCACACACGTACTTATTCAAACACCTTGTAAGAGTAATCCCCGCCTTTCTGGGCCGCACAATGCGAGATCTGTTCTATGCTTACTTCGAGTGGCTTATTCCAAGGACCCCGCAAAAGTAGTGAATGCGATGTGCACGAGCGCAAGGCCAATCTCAGGGAGGTGTGAGTGCACAGGCAGAAAAGCAGTTCAATATAGAGTAGTCCTAAGGAATCACATAAAAGGGCGTCTTACTGTACTGCCCTTTGTTGCCGTAACCTCTTCAATCCAATGGCCCTAACTAATTTCCCTCTTACAATACGCATTAAGATTAAGATTAAGATCTTAACATAAATATTTTTCAGTGTGTACTTGGCTTAATAAAGGTGTCAGGCAGAAAGCTTGCTTAAGCCGTCAAGGCTCCTTCACCACAAAACCCTCCTTTGGGAACAGATAAAGCGGCATTAGCCTGATCTGTTACGGAAACTCGCTTAATTTCAATTCCATGCGGTCACCAATCGATGGGGTTGAGCCAGCACCTACGCCAAGTTTCCAACTTCTGGACGCCGTCGGCGGTGGTGGCACGTCAAAAGTTTCAGTCAACTTCATTAGGCCAAATCCGACGGCCAACAGACTGAGCCCGTCATGGTCAGCCACTTGTGGATATCCCGGTGGTGCCCACATTCTTGATGGCCATGACGCAGCCTTTGCATTTTTCCCCCGCCACTGGGCACTGAAATTAAATGAAGCAAAAACTTGGACAAAGTTATTTAGCCAATGATAGGCCAGTTGCCCTTTTCCGGCTGACTGGCAGAAATTAAAGGCCCTGCCCAAAGACTTAAAGGAGCATCCCCCTGCAGCAGATTTCCCATTCGAATAGGCCCCAGTTCGCACTGGATTCACCTTGCGAACTTATTCGGTTTTCCGCCGCCCGATTGTGGAGGGCGTAAAGTTTGCCGCTCAAAAGTTGTTCTCGAGTATCCTGCCGAGGGTAAAATAACTTTGACACAAAAGTTGACCAAAACCTTTCAAGAGTCCACTTTCTTAACTCTTTTAAGCCCCTTCCCTTTGTCTTGAATGCTAATCAAGGAGGGAAACTCGAATCTGAATAAACTTTTAAAAGTGCGACAAAACCCACCGAAGACTCGAAGTTGATTGCCATTGCAACGGAGTTAATTGGCTGGTTCTTTAAAATGGTTGTAATGAGCCTTGAATGAGAGCCGAAGAGGCCATTTAATGGCCAAAGTAAGTAACTAAAGATCTAGACATAAACTCGGTAGTGTTGTGTTGTGGAAAGTGTGAACCTCTTTTCAGTTCATAAGCAATCGTAATCGAATACAGATTTGAGTTTATCATCACTGGTTGACTAGTCGACATACAAAGTAAGTCATGTTCGACTCATTTAACATTTCGACCATGCCTGAGTACAAAACCTGCTTACCTGGCATGGAAATTAATCAAGTCTTTACCTGTGTTTTAGCATATATCCACGTCTGTTATGAAGTACTCCGCAGTTTGGCGCTCGGTGGGCGCCATGAGCTGTGGTTCCCTGGTCACCTACTTGACCATCCGACTCTTCGAGGGCCAGAATTCGACTTATTCAAATGGAGCGGAGGGAGATGGCAGACGGGAGACAGAACCACTGGCCAACGGCTCCTGGATGCATCACTGGGATCTGCACAAGCCGCAGCTGCAAAAGGTGGCAAATGGCGAGATGTCCTCCGCGTTGCGACACATTATCCTGGTGCGCCATGGCGAGTACACAAAGACCTTGGATGGGAGCCACCTCACAGAACTGGGCCGTCGTCAGGCGGAGCTCACAGGGCGCAGATTGCGGGAAATGGACTTGACCTGGGACCACGTGGTGGCCTCCACAATGCCGCGGGCCGAGGAGACGGCCATGATCATCCTGAAGCAGCTCAACCTCGATCCCCTGAAGATGAAGAGGTGCACTCTGCTGCCCGAGGGAACTCCGTACCCGGGGGATCCTCCACCCAAAAGAAGCGCCCGCAGCCTGGAACAGGCTTATCAGAGGGATGGTCCAAGGATCGAAGCGGCCTTTAGACGATACTTTTTCAGAGCCAGTCCGGAACAGGAGCACGACTCGTACCTGCTAATAGTTGGTCATTCGAATGTTATCCGGTATCTGATCCTGCGGGCCCTGCAACTTCCTCCGGCTGCCTGGACCAGGCTCAACTTGAACCACGGCTCCATCACCTGGCTGACTGTGTGGCCCACCGGCTATGTGACCTTGCGCTGTCTGGGGGACTCTGGCTTCATGCCCGTAAGCGAGTTGACTAATCGAAGGCCGTTATCGACTAAGTCAAGTAATAAATAGCTAGCATGATTAAAGTCCTAGTGCTAGACTGGTCTTGGGCACGAATTCGGAGAACTAGCTCGTTTTGCAGCACGAGTGGGAACGTGACTTCATGCACATTTTGTCGCAACTGGGCGAAAACCACTTTAACTTTGGCCAAAATCACTTGGCCAACACACTGCCAGTTGCATCTGCATCCGCATGCCAGCACATCGGCATCCACATCTAGTGGCCACAATGCCAGCGGCTGCCACGCCCAAAGCGGTCATCCCGCCCCCCTCTGGGCCACCCGGTAGTTGGCACATTTGCGCTACTCTTTCGGGATTGTCTCTGCTCATTAGTGCGGCTTTAATTTTGGTTATTGCGCCTGTCCCATGTTGTTCGGTTTTGGTTTCTGGTTTCGGTTTTCCGCCTTTGGTTTTGGCCGTCGTCGACGTTGTTGCCACTGCCACCGCTTGCCGCTTGCCGCTGGCGTTTCATTAAATTTGCATCCGTCCACAATTTGAATTTAATTTGTTGGGGGCTGAAAATTGCATTATACCCATCCGCCCGGAGCTCCTCAGCTGCCACTCGCAACGAGTGTCAGCTGCTAAATATTTGCCTTGCCACAGAAATTCTGGGGCACATGGAAAAAGGCAAGTGTTTGCTTTATGGCCCTGTTATTGCTGTTGCGGTTGGCTGCTCAAAATGGCCCTTGACGCCCTTCGGATGTGCATTATAAAATCTGCGGATATGCAGAGTTATGCTATTCATCGGGTAAATTTCCAGATAAAGCATATTTATGATTCCTCAAAGAAGCACCGAGTGATAAAGTCAAAGGCAAGTCTGTTATTGGGAACCAATATTAAGTTAGACAGAACTTCATTGTTGATTGTACCCTTCAGTGATATTTCTTTATCAATTCATTATCAGTCATTTCTGAGTACTTGTCACTTAATGAATTAGTTACCAAAAGAAACCCCCCAGACGATTAATGACGAGCTCATTAATGGAAATCAATTGGCTTAATGGTCACGTGAACTACTTTGGATTTCATAGATCACTCATCATCGGTTTTCAGGGGAGTTTCATTTCAGCATCAGGTGGCTATATCTCCAGAACTGGAACTAAAACCGTAAAAATACTGGCTTAAAGAGACCCCTAGTAAAATGATGACTCAGCTTAGCTCTCTGGAAACTGATTTTCGGCCGCCTGTTCAGCCACCCACATGAACAAGTTCTAAGTCAGAAACATCTCGACTTGAGTATTCCCAGAACGGTGATAAGTATCAGTGATAGCAGTCGCCAGACAAGTGAAAGCCCACCCTGAGGCGGATTAAGTGTTCTTACATTGCAAGTGCCTTAGCAATTACACTTATCAAGGTAGACTAAACCCTACTGATTGCAGAGCGCCTTATCATCGGTTAGGCTCTGTGGTTTTCCTCACACTATTAGTGTAGAATTTCATTGCAATTATTTACTTTGTTAACTTTAATAGAAGTTATGCAGGAACTAAGCTAAAAGAGGCGACGAGTTCTTGCACGTACTTAATTACGAGTATTTCGGGAAATAAGATCTGGAAGCCTTTGTGATTATGTTTGCTTTGAAAATGTTATCCAGGGATTCCTTTACATACTACATACGCCTAGATAATTTGCCTTTGCCTTCAAAAACAAATAAAACATGCAAATTTTCACCGTGTTTTTGATACTTTTCTGGGGTGTATTGGCAGCCGATGCTGAACTCGGAGTGATCAGCGATATCAGCGACGAAACCTTTGAGATGCTGATATCAGGCGGCTACAAGCCGAAGAGCAACCGGCTGTCCCGACACGTGGTCTCAATCCGCACCCAGACCTATGTGAGGCACCGGGGGGACAACCACTTCTGCAGCGGAGTCCTGGTGAGCAGCCGAGCGGTCCTAACTGCTGCCCACTGCCTTACGGAGTAAGTTCTTGAAGTTAACCCTACTCCTGAAGTCCAACCATTGACCAGGTAATGTCTACATAGTCGGTACAAGGCATCAATGAATCCACGGGGCATTCGCGTGGTTTTCGGCCATGTAGTACGTCTGGCGGACTATGACGAATCAGACACCCGCAGAGTGGATCGCCTTGTGGTCCATCCGGACTACGAGCGCTACAAGAAGAACGACCTTGCCATTCTCAGGCTTTCCGAACGCATCCAAACCTCCAACCACGACGTCCTACCGCTGCTCATGCGCAAAACGGCGAATGTGACATATGGCGACACGTGCGTCACCATCGGCTGGGGGCAGGTATATCAGGTGAAGTGTCCTTTAACCCTATAATAAAATGGTTTTGGGTAATAATTAATTCATGCCTGCGCAGCACGGACCGTACTCGGATGAACTGCTCTATCTGGACGTTATCTTAAGGCCACCCTCGCTCTGCCAGAAGCACTACGACACCTTTGTTGCCGATCACCACGTGTGCACGGAACCCGTTGGCGAGGCTATGACGTGTGCCGGAGACATGGGCGGCCCGCTGCTCTGCAAGGGTGCTCTGTTCGGACTCATTGGCGGACATCTGGGCTGCGAGGGCGGCAAGGCCATGAAGTTCCTGAGCTTTCTATACTACAAGGATTGGATTCTCGTCACAATCAAATCCCTTTCCGTTGGCGCACTAACGGAGTGCTTTAGTGGCTCCTTTCTTATTCCCCTTCTACTGATTCTTGTAAGCTGGCAATAAACAATTATAAAGAAATGAGCAGTAAGTCTTCGACATAACCCCTTTGGGGGTTATACCCACCTTTGGGGGTATTGCAGACTTTTCAATTAGTCTTTTTCTTCTTCCAAATGATTTCTTTGCCTCCTTTAAATGCTTTCAAATATTGATGTTTTCGACGCACTCATTTTGCGGTCCATATGTTTGTCGTTGCTTAGAAACGTTGAACCTTTGAAGGTCTTGTGTTTGGTGGCCCCAGGCTGTTCCTTGCAATTCTGCTACTGTCATTTGTGGCCAAAACTGACATTGATACACCTCACAAAGGACGACAACTGCACACAAAGAGCCCGATAGACCGGAAGTGAATGTGGTGCTATCAGTGCTGCCGAGCTGGATGCACCTTTGCGGATGTTTCCGGTTAGCAGCGAACCGGACCCGGACTTTAAGTTTAAAAGCCTCTTGGTGCTGGCTTGCAAATCTGACGTAAAATGCATAAATCAAAGGCAAATTGAATTTTAGCCATGAAAGGCACTTCTGGCACGGAGGCAGTGGAGGCCGTGGAGACCGTGGATGCGCCCAGGCGTTGTCGTTGTCGTTGTCATTGGCGTCTCCCGCTGCGAGCTCTGACAATATGTTGAGGAAAATGCCGGGGAAAATGACGACGCTCCGCGTATCCCCGTGCTTAACTTTGGCCTGCTTCGCTTTCGGCTTTCAGCGATGGCAAAACTTTGTCTGGCTTCGCGTTGATGCAACTTTAAAGTAAAGTCTACTTAATGCAAAGCTCAAGGCGAGTGCCGCCAACACAAACAAAAACTGTGAAATTGGTCGTTAGTACTTATAAGATCCATTTGCGATTTCCACGAAAACTAAAGTGTAGTTGAGCCCGAACAGATTCTCTTACGATGTCTAGTTTTAAGGATATTATTTGATGCGTTTCATATACGGCAAGCTACAGCTAGTTGTGCTTCGTCTTTGATGAACCTACCACAAATGCCATCAATAGATTCTGCCAATAGATTTTCCCGCCTCAGAAGCACGTGCTTTTGCTCTGCGCAAAAAGAAAATGTGAAGCCAACAAGTCAGTATTCACCATACGCCTCTTGTCCATATTCACTCGCTGTTCGTTTAATACAAACAGCAAAAACAGCGAAAAAGTGAAAATTTCTAAGTTTTCTTTGCTGATTATTTGGGCCTAAAACCTTTTCACCGTTCAGTCGTCGAACGGCGCTGGTCGAGCTTCGTGGTAGAATCGCAGAGAAATTAGAGTCAGGACAGGCCATATCCATACCCCTTAGCAGCAGTGCTAATTATGTGAAAATGAATAAATAATTGGTTGATAATTGTCCGCTTGATTGCATGCAATGTAAACACCGAAAAATAGTCGCAAAATCGCAAACGGTCAACAAACGTGAGCTCAATTCCGAATCGATTTCAACTCAATTTCGGGTTCGGTAACGGAATGTTCAAATAAACGAGTCGAATCAACATATCAAACTAATTGCAATCGAATTTAAATAACGTTCAATTAAAAGCATGGTTCGCAAAGTCAAACCCATAATCACACCATATTTGCATGTGTAAAGTGTGTGCAAGTGTTTAGCGATTGCGGGAGAGAGCGGGGAACAGACCGAAGGGGAGAAAAAGGGCTTCGATTCGCCATCAATCAATTAATTGGGGACCCCAACTAGGTGCGTAAGTTCATTAGGCGTGCAATTTGTTAATTAATCGAATCCAGAGCATTGGCACAAACTGGAGCGTTAAGTCTGACTCGTTGGAGTTAATGCTTTGATTTCATTTGGAGTATGCAAGAAGTTATAAAGTATGTATATACCTCTACAGTTGCCTTAAAGTTCTGTCAGTAATATAAATTATGGGCTAAAAGATCAGAGATGCATGTGTATGTATATTAAAAATAGGGTGCCTAAAAGTAGGCAATAAATGATGGTCCCTTTTCAGTGAGAATGCCACAAATTGTAGTTGCTAAGATATTTATGTTACTATGTTACCTTAAGGCATCCAAACTAGTGATTTTAAATCTCATGCCATAGAATTTACCAATATCTAACAGCCTTAGTAGTCATTCAGTGTAATGTTATGTGAATAACTCCGCTCTAAGCCGCACTAAAAGCCCTTTACTGAGTGTGACCCAATGCATTGAACTCTGCCACCTCGCTCCATAATACTCCGTCCGTTATCATGGAACGGCTTTCACTAATATCTTTCTAACAAGAAGAGCAATGGCTACAATAATAGGGAGATAATAGCCGACAACAAGTCCACACATTGCGTATCGAGTTGCCTTCGTAAGAGCTTGGCCAGCAAATTCGAGCGCCTTGACTCGTGTCCACTTGGCTAACATAATCGCACATGCAGAGACCGAAAGACATCCAGATGTATACTCGCATTTGTATGTAGAGATAGAACGTACATTGTCTATGGGGGAGTCGTTGTCCCAAGCCAAGCCCCACCGAATGCATCGGGGTATCGAGTTTTAATGACCCACTTTCCAGCTCGAGACTATTTAAGTTCGGCCAGCCATCTGTATTGGTTTGGTCTAATTCTGAAAGTCCCCTGCCAGAGCAATTAGTATGGCCATTGGCCATTGGCTAACATGAATGGGCGATAAAGGCGGCAACGGCGAACGTAGTATTGTCAAGGAAAACAAATGAGTTGAGTTTACCGACGGACACTTGAGAGGCTTCTGCCCGGGGTGCGCGTACTTCTTCTGGCCCGAAAGAGATGTCTAGTCCCAGACCCAAAAATGCCAAAAGAGAGAAAAAAAACAAAAAAGAGTAATTTTGCAGTCCCTGAAAGTCATTACCCATTGATATGTGTACCATAGGAGGCGAAGAGAGACTTCTGCTGCCTTTTTGCCTGCTTTTTTTTCTCGATAGTGTGTTGACAACATTGGAAAGGGCAAAGACAGCGCAAGATAGCAACAAAGCGAAAAATGAAATTAATAGAATTAAGAGGTGAAGAATTCAATTCAAGGCAACATTCAGGGACGGCAATTAAATAGAACAGAACCTTGGTGGGCGTACGCTGCGTATGCTTAATAAACAATTCTAGGTTCTTAAATACCTCCCCCTTATAGAAGAACTAGGTCCAAGGAATCTGTGTACATATTATAACAACGTAAACGTAAGTCTGGAGAGGCACCTATAAGTTGACCCGAAAAGAGATAAGCTCCGTATTTAATATACAAAATTTAGGTCCCACAAAATTAATTTGTGTGAAAAATGTGTGAGAATTCCTCACGAAGCTGCAATATTCATTAATTTGGTGAATGTCACATACTCCCTGTGAGTTACTGGGGTCCCCAGCTAGTTACTTGGGTGTCTGGGTCCCGAATCCCGCCTACAAGCCAGCATAGAAACATACATATGAATGCATAATTGGAACATAAAATTCCGAAAGTATTTTACAACATTCTCGCTGGCCCCATGTGAGCTTGGTTTTTGTTTAGCAGGGCACGGACTCCCCGCCCCAGCCTCTGTCGGGTATTCATGGTCATGCCTGTTCCGCATTAATTCATTCGCAGAACTGAGAACAGAGAACGGACGACGGTGAACCAACCCGGGCAAGTCAGCCAGCCGCCCGAAGATGGACCAGCGTAATCTAACACTGCCAGCGCCAGCCGCAACAACAATTATGTCCTCGTCATCCGCAGCGATGGCGGCGAGCTATGGATCCTTCGGAGGACCAACAACGTCCGCCCTGGCAGGATCCACAATAGCATTAGCCACTACAACAACAGCTCCGGCATCCCCTACAACAACGCCAGCCACATTTTTTACCTACAGCATACCAGGCATGGACATTGCGCCAGGACCATTTATATTCACCTACGTTAGTGAATTTTTATCGCTTATCACGCCCGAGGAATTGCCCCTGGGTAAGTCCTTCCCACCCGCCCTCCTCGTAGTGGGCGTGTCCTTGTGTCCATGCAAGGGTGTACATGTATGGGTTCGAAGGGTATTAGGGAAAGGGTTTCCAGGTGGCTGGGTGTCCTGGGTGTGTGCTTGCCAACAATGAAGGCATTAGAGATGTAAATTCAGGACAGCAGTTGATAGGTAGGCAAGTTATTCAGGACAGATGGCAATGCTCGTCTAAATTGAGTACAAGGAAAAACTATAGTCAACCGTTTTCAAATATGAATTTAAAGTACTTGAATATTGGTTTGACCTAACTTTTCTCTTTAAAGTATTATGATTTTTTGTATTTTTATACTACCTCAGTTCTTTACCTAATTTTATTTTATTTTTATATCATATAAATGTAGTAATTTATAGATAAAGAAACCATTTTTTCAGTGCACAAATACTTTGTGTGTCGTTTAAAACAATCAAGGCCTAAATAGTTCCTTCGGCTCAAATCCCTGAGTGGTGGCCCCCTCTTTCCGCTGAGTCCTTTGCCATATAAATTCATGTTGGGCGAGAGGTTGTGGCTGCCACAAGCTTGTTTGTGACAAGCCAAAGGCCCAGTCGGCCTAGCAACAGTGATCATCTCTCGGACAATATGTGTTTGTAAACTCAATCCATCGAAATAGCCCCAAAATTGGTCGTACCTGCCCAGATGACCCATGAGCAGAAGCTGAGCACTTTCATGGAGAGACATGGGGTGCGTAAGGAGGTGGCCCTTCAGTACCTGAGCTCCAACCATTGGTCCTTGGAGGTAGCCAGCAGTACCTACGAATCCGATGCGGCTACCAAGAAGGAGGAGCACGAAAGGACCTCTGATCAAACGCAGGCGAGTGAAAGTAACCGGGATCTGCAGACTCTACTGAGTCAGCATTCCCGGAAGAGGGAGAACGATCAAGATGGCTACCAGGCAGGAACATCGGACAGCTCCTCCGATCACGGAATCCCGGTGGGCAAACGGGTGAACATCGAAAATTCTACGCCGGCTATAACCAACAACGAGAGCGATCGCAGTCTGAGGGTGTGGGGTCATGGCGTTCGTCTCGGCAGCGCCCATCCTATTTATCCACCCCCTCGTTCTGCGACCGAAGATTCGGACACGGAACCCACAGACGACGAGCACACCATGGTTGTCCTTCATCTCTGGTCGGAAGGCTTTTCCCTGGACGACGGCTCCTTGAGGCTGTACACCCTGCCCGAAAACGAAAGATTTCTTCGCGCCATTTTGAGTGGGGATTTCCCGGAGGAGATGCTCCGCGTGCCTAGGGTTCAGTTAAGCGTGCAAGATCACACAAATGAATCCTTCCGCCATCTGTCCCGGAAACAGTTCATGGGACCCGGCAGGCCACTAAACAGCCCCCCATCTCGGATAATAGTCGGTGGGCCCATGCCGATAGATCCGCAATCCTTTCAGCTCAACGAACGAGCCGCCACAACCACCGTTCAGTTGAGAATGGCGGATGGAAGTCGCGTGGCAGGACTCTTCAATCTCACCCACAACGTTGGTGATCTCTACCGCTATGCACGACTCGCCAGGCCCGAGTTCTCCAATCGAAACTTCGTCCTAATGACAGCCTTTCCGCGACAGGAGCTACTCGAGACGGACACCCGTACTTTGACCCAGGCAAATCTCTGCAACGTGGTGATCATCCAGCACTTGAACGAGGAGCAGGCAGACCCGTCGTCCAGTGAGCCTTCACAGCAGAATCTAAAATAAAAGTCCGTAGAGATGGATAAGAGAAAGTCTTGTAGTATTTTATCAAAGTTTTCATCTTCACTCGCACGGAAGCTTCCATCTTGATCTTAAAACGCATAGGTCCTTTTTTTAGGAGAACTTCCAAGAGGTTCATAAGTTGAAATAAGGTTTGGGCAAGCTAAAATGATCTCCTTTACATGGATTTTTATAGTCCCGTTTCAATCATCAAGAAGTAAAGTGATGGGTAACCCATTTAAGGCCAAGATTTCTCCCAAAGGCATTGTATTATGACCCATTACCCCATAACCTCAGAAATATCGTTTTGTTTTTGCCATTGCAGACTCCATACGCGATGTATTACACAAAAATACCAGCCTGCTGGACTTTGCCTCCAATGTAAGTGGATGTCGATTCAAGTTTTGGCAAAGCCTTAATATTTCCTGCCACCGTTTAGGCCATTAAAATCGAGTCCGGATTCATTGCCCTGATGAGCGTGTTCGCCATCCTGGCCTTGGTGCCCCTGATTGCCACCTGTGCCTTTTGCTGCGGGCGCCGATCCACCAAGGAGGAGGTGGACCACATACGGAATGCCCCGTGCAACATTCGGGACGAGTCGCTGGAGGAGAGCTTACGGTGTCGGAAGAGTGCTGGACTGGTCACAATGTGGATTGTTTTCATTCTGCTAACGTGCGTGCAAAACTTAAGAGCTTAACTTTTTGGGGGCAAAGAAAGTAACTGCTTTTGCAACCCGTTTGCAGGATGAGCGACTTCAGCATATTTTACGCAAACAGTCGCCTGTCCGCCGGAATTGAGATGACGCCCGAGATGGTCAAGTCAGCCGTGCACGACGTGGAGGTCTTCCTGAAGGACACGCATCTACAAATCAAACACAAACTGGATAATGGCTTCCACGTTTCCGTGGAGCGGGTCGTCAAAGACCTGGAAGGTCAGTCGGTCAGTCAGTCAGTCGGTCGGCAAAAGTTTGCCAACTTTGTGTCGCCGAGCACTCGAGCTCCCGCCCATTTTATAGCCTTCGATCCATGCATTATGCTGCAACTTTTCCCGCACTGCGATGTAAATCTATGAATCTATATGTGTGCCTCTCTTCCGCAGACGTGGACGTTCTCCTTGGCGAGCCGATTCAAGCGGAAATATCTGCACACACTGGCCTTGAGCTGGCGTATGATTCACTGACGACACTTAGCCTGGGTGAGTACGGATTCGGATGGTTAAGTGCTCCCCATGCGATGGTATGGCCATGCGTTTGTCTGGTTACAGACTTGACCCAAATTCCATTGTTAGTGCCCCTCATGGTCAGTAGGCCTACCCACCTCCCGCTATTGGCCAAACATGACAATAAAGCAGCCCTAATAAATTACGGCCTCAGAGGGGTGCGACCTTTGGGTGGCTTCCACTTTAAATTGTCCATATCTTCGTTTCTCTATCTTTATTATGTATTTAAATATGAATGCAGAGAATTCTTTAAATATTTGATTTGGTAAATGTGTTATTGGTACGACAGTAAAATGTGTATCGTAAAAGTCAGTCTAAAAAGTACTTCTTGGCTTTCAGCAATTGTCATTTATTCCTCCCAGAAACTTACTTAAAGTCCACTTCAGCGAAGAACTCTGTTGCCTATATCAATGGCAAACAATCTGAAAAATCAGAGCCCAAGGCAGTCTGTCCCAGAAGTCAGGCCATCGGTAAATATGTTGGCAGCGGCTCTCAGCCAAAACCGATTGTTTGCGCCCAATTTCATTAGGGGAATGCAAACGGAGGCAGCCGCATCCGGCTAAAGTCTTCCTACACAATTGCCAAGATGACAACTCCATTATGTTCGCCATCGAACACAATGTGTAATTTGGAATCATGCTCCTGCGACTTCTTGAATCCCCCAAACCCATCCCACTCCGCCTTCCCGCCCTCCTCAAATAAAACACGCTACAATAACGCTGCAAATAATAATATTTTCGTGCATTTGTCGCTGTCAGCGAACGCGGAGCTCATCTATCGCGTGCTCATGCTGCAGGAGACGGTGGGCAGGGCCTTAAAACTCTCGCAGGAGGCTGCCGCCAGGATGGAGGAGCTCCAGATCCAGCTGTCCGTGCTGCAGCGCCAGTGCACGTACCGCGACCGCCCGCTCTGCGACACGTTGCGTATACGCAGCTTCGAGGAAAACGGCGTCGTTGACGCCCTGAAAACTGTGAGTTCTTTCCCGGGTATGCCGCCCGATTACATCCCTTTCTACGAGGATACCAGGATACCAGGGGTATACCAGCTTAGCAGTCATCAGAAGCGGACATTGAATCCTTTATAGCCTCCTCCTAGTTCGGAGAAATCGCAAAGCTTTAACTTTTCATCTAGATAAAGTAGATTGCAACTGCTTTTGTGTGGTATACCAGGTTTCTGTACTCCCAACTAACCATCATTTTTAGTTCAACGTATAAATAATTTGTACTCTGACTTCCTTCCCCCTTTTCCCTTTCGGACCTCGCTGTTTTTCTAATTCCACCCGCAATATCTTATTTCCTGGACAACGGCACGACGACACCGCTGACAATTTGCCAGCTGCAAGAGGACCAGAGCATCTTCCGTATGCGCTACTTGGGTGAAATTGAATTCGGTGCCACTGTCAAAAATCTGACATCGGAAGTTGGCATGTCACGTTCCATTTTCAGCAATTTCCCGCAACAAGTTAAACATGACACGGCGTATGAGCGGAACTGTGAGTACAGCAATCAAAATAAAAGGAAGAGTGGCTCGGGCTATTTAAGTTCAGCTTTCCACCAAGCCAGCCTAATCGCCAGCCCTACATCAAAATCCATATTGTGCCCCAGCCACAACTCAATTATGCCAACTGCCTAAAATGTACAACTCAATCAGTAGCACAGGTGTTGGCTTTCCCATTCACTCCCTTCCTACCTGCCCCAAGAATCCGGCAATGCAATTTCCTAAACATTAAGCTCTAGACACAGCAAGAAAAGCTGATATTGCCTGATCATAAATCTTAAACCTTATCTTACAAAGTAATAACCGAATTTTCAAATATATGCCAGCCTTATCGACTTACCAGGCATCAAGGAATTTGAAAATGATAATTTTATTACAACTATCATCTTCATCTAGCTCCAAAGTCAAGAAAAGCTTGCACACTTTTCCTTCTGTGTAACCACATATGTTGCCCAAGCCTAGCCCCTAATATTAATTAGTGTCACTAGGTTCTGGTCTGTGGATGCTAATTGAATTGGCTCTAACTTATCGGCAGATACATTGGAACAGTTGGCCAGCATCCGCCATCGGACGACTGCCAATGCCCAGCAACTGACATCGACGATAAACGGTCTGCTTCACCGACTGGAGGGCACCTGGTCGTCCATGCAACCCGCTTACAATGAGCTGAAGGAGTGGGCGGATGCCTACTGGAGTGTGGGATGGATTGCCGGAACAGTGATCGTCTGGGTGATGCTGTTTATGCTGATGTCCTACTGCTGTTTCCTCTGCGAAGCAAATACCAAATCCGGCGTGGTCTTCTTCATCTCCGTAATGCTGATCTGCCTGGCCAGCATTTGTCTCACTGTTTATGGAGTATTTTCCCTGGCTGTGGGAGGAAATGCCGAGGTCTTCGTCTGCCGATCTTTGTACGACCAAGACTACAGCACGCTGGGTAAGTTGCTGGACCAACCGGGCTACGCTTATGCCCGAGAGCCGCAAAACGGCATCATCGGGGAGCTGCTGCGTCCAGCTGGAGTCAATCGGTCTGTGGTCAATGTAGGACTAGGCCAGGCCCTCAGGTGAGTTCATGTCCACTAACCAGCACGTGTGTATCTAGAGTTCCCAGGTAGCCAAAAGTTAAAGCTCAAAATGCCAGCGTTGAAGTAACGAATTTTGTTATCCAATTACTTTGATACTGTACGTGCCTGTAATTTTGATTGCTCCCCAAAGACCGAGTACCTGTGCTCCGTGGGTGAAATGAACCTACACCAATTTTTATGGTTTAATCGATTAGCAGTTAAGAAGGAAATGAAGAAGCTATGCATTTTTGCAGCTGAAATAAGGTATTCTTAATAAACCCCCTCAAAAAGAAATTTCATTGGGAGATATGTGTGATTCCATTTCCCCCTTTTTGTGATGTATTCCTTTTCGAAGCGCTTGGATACACTTTCCGAAATCCCCTCATGAGCCAATCGAATCCCTGCCAAAAGCTCTTAATCGATTCCACTGTGATTACCCATTTCTGTGATTATTGTTGCCACTCTAGAACTTTTCCTATTCCGGCCCAACTGCAACTCGGGCAGCCGCAACGCACTCTCTCGACTTGCGAAGTTGTTCGGCTTCGAAATCCCATCCATCCCATTTGGAACTCAAGTGTGCAGGCCAGAACAAACCAGAAATCGGAACTGTCGGCCCTAAGCCACAAAGTTTTGAAAGCCCAGTGAAATTTGCTAGCCACATGGCACTCAATTTTGCAGGGAACACACCAATGCCAATTCAACTAGCCGCACGCACCACCCACTCAAAAACTCACCCCATGCCCACCGACCACCCACCACCACCCACTTGCAACCACAAATTTTAAGCACGATTCCAATTATCCTAGCAGCTACAAAATGCACATGCAGGCTGTAGGGAATGCGGAGATAGGGTGGGGGCATGAATTGCCGAATTTGCGGGGATGCTCCACCTCCTCCTTCCCGTAGATATTATGGGTGTACCCGAGCTTTCCGTCCCCCAGAAAGCAGCTTCAGCCAATCTTTTGACGTTTCTTTGACAACTTCTGGCCAACACAACAACACAGAGCCTGCGAGCAAAATCAAGCATCGTACAATGTCTTTCAATTGGATGCATTCGTGAATACCAGCAAAATAGCCGACCTACGCCAGTTTCCCAAAGTGTCCACGGCCATCGATGCGATTTCAGTGTCCGGGCGAACGCTCCTCTCGCTCACGCAATCCGTCCAGAACATTTTGGAGAACATGCTGCAAACGTCCTCGTTCAATTTGACCACGTACCGCAGCAGCGTGGGTGCGCCCACGCCCGAAAAGGATTTGGCCACGTTCATTGATCAGATGCAGCGGGTGGCCTTGCAGGTGAGTGGTGCACCAGGTGGTCATTCCCCCTCCACCTGATTAGTTTCAATTAAAATGAAAACGGGCTGGGGAGGGGTAAGGGGCTACGTGAACTGCATAATGCCGCATTCAATTCACTCATCCGATTTGTGTCGACAGATTCAGGATGTGGCCACGTCCTCGCGCATGACCACACTGGGCAGCCGGTCCAAACGGCTGCAGGCCTCGATTCTCCAGCCCCTGGAAAACCTGCAAAACGAGATACTATACCACCTAACAGCCCTGGAACTGCAGCGTGATCCCTGGGCGAAGCAGGTCAACCAGACGCTCAACCACCTGAAGAGCATCCAGAGCTTCCTGGAGAACCAGGCCGCCGAAATATGCCACAACATGACGCGAGCCTACACAGATCGGTAAAATCATTAAGAATTTCCCTCCCCACATTCATTTTTATCAGCCGAATCAAAATACTAAAGAGCCAAAAATAGTTTGCCCCTGTTAATTGTGACTTTCGAGCGAAAGTCAAGACTCCACCCTCTCGAAAATGCTCCCATTTAGCCACTTTTCCTACCGCCTGCAGCACTTGCACTTGCATTCTGGGTCTGCCTGGGTGTTTGAGTTTTATTACTGTGTTGCTCTTTCTCCAACTGGCAGAGAAACAAACAACTCAAACAATTGTGGTAGTGCACTCGGGTGTACTGCACATAGTTTCCGGCTTTATCAGATAATTGAAAGTCCTAATCGTTTGATTAAGTTTGCCAAGTGTCATGATTGCATTTTTAGTGTTTTTCCAAGTGCACACTTACGATTGCCACACAGACGCACAGTCGCTCTTATGATAGGTGAATTGGGCAGGAATGCTAAATATTTTGCTGCTAGGAGTTCAGACTTCCCCAATGTCCTTTGTCTTTTTAGTTTAACGAAATTCATTGTGCCATTTGAAAACAGTTTGCAATAGCTGCAGCCACTTATGAAATCAAGAGCTCTTCTAAGATGGCCAATAAACAATCAAATTGTTATTTGATATCTTAGTAAATTGAAGTACTTAGTAAGGCTGGAATTTTAAAGTAAAGAGTCTACGCTGTGGACTAAGCAATTTGGTAGAACAACGCCCTTGTGGAAACCTGAGCTTTTCCAAATTTCAACTTACTTCGAAATCATTGTATATGTGCTGAAAAGTATGAACATTAATCATCCCTTTCCCATTCCTTGTACTGTTTTCAATATTCGTATACTTGAACCTATGTTACCGCCTTAGCCTGAAAGCCTACTTGACTACCAGTCGGGCCACCATGGAATCCCAACTGGGCGACACCACCACCAAATGTCGACCCTTCTACGACACCTTTGACGCCAGCCGCACCTTCCTCTGCCGTAACATGGTGGACTTCGTAAACGGCCTGACCTTCTTCATCTTTCTCACACTGCTCCTCTGGGCCATTGGCACTCCGGTGGGCCTCAACCTCATCACTGTCCAGACGCGACTGAATGTGATGCAGGCGGCCCAAGCGCGCAGCAAGAACAGGCAGCGGAGGAGTGACCGGAGTCCAGAGCAGGAGCATCGGAGCGGAAGTCGCGGCCGAAAGAAGCAGCGGTCGGGCAGTTCAGCGGCAAGCGGAAGGAGTGGCAAGAGGGAGCAGAGCCGGGAACGAAGTACCAGCAGCACGGCAAGGCCCAAACCACCTCTGTAAGTTCAGTTTGCTTGTCTTAAAGCTTCATATAAGCCGTTATGCATACCCTTACAGAAGACGCACTGCCACTGAAGAAACCTTGGACCTGGCCGACGAAGACTCCACTCCATCGAGACAGCAGCAGCATCAGCAACCTCAGCGGCGCCAGGAGCAGAACCAAAGGGAAACGGACAGGGAGCGGGTGAGGGAGCGTGATCAGCGGAGTCGGGAGCGGGAATTGAGTCGAGGCCGCGAAATCTCCGCCTTGAACACGCCGGTGCGTAGCCGCAGTCGACAGCAGCTGTGAGTAGCAATTCTCTCTTGACCCGCCGCATTTCGAGCTCATCTCATCATGTGGCATTTTCATTTGCATCAGGCGCCACGATCCCGAGGATGACAATTGGGGCTCATCCAGCGGACCCAGTAGGGCCAACTCCCATGAGCGAGATCACGAGAGCAGTCAGACTAGAAAGATTCTCAATATTTGGCAGTCGCGCAATAAGATCAAGACGCCACTGTAAGTCGAGGTTCCTTAGATACCCTACATGCGCCTCTTTTCTGATTTATCTTCCTTTGAACAAAAGTCGCCGACAAGGCACTGAGGAGTTCGATTTTGAGGATGCCCACGAAGATAGAGGATGGCAGACCCAGGCTCAGACTCAGAATCAGATTCTAAGCCAAAGCCATAGCCATATCCAATCTAGTGTCAGTCCAGAACAAAGACCCGATCCGCGCAGCCTTCGCTCCAACCTCCGTACTAAGCCCAAGTTGTAAGTGACCCCTTGATGACCCCGAAATCTTCCTCGAGGTCCGCTCCCCCACTCACTCTCTGCCCCCCTCTGTGCATGCCAGACGTAGTACCAATGTGGATAGAGCTAGCAGTGAAGTGGTCCGGCGTCCTGTAACTCCCGTGCTCAGCGTAAATCCGGACATTCCGGCTGCCATTCCGATGCCCCGGACGCCGATGCGTCTCAAGAGCAAGGTCTCGCTGACCGCCCGAGCTGTGCAGGACATTGTCAACAAGCGGAATCAGCGTCTGTGAGTGTCTCAGTCCCGAAACCCAAAGACAACCCCTAGTCAGTTTGAAGATCGCTGCACCACCCACACAAGTCACCCGACCCATTTGCCAGTTCAGTAATTCTTAGCTTAAATCGCTTAAATTAAGTAAGAACTAAGTAACCTTTTACCACATAGCCAACGAACCGGCACCGACGAATTCGACTTGGATGAAAGCGATGCTTACGGTGCTGGAGGTCACATGGATGCGGACGTCGCGGCGTAAGTCTATAGGGTCTATGGTGAGTGTTACAGAAGTTTCGCGACCTAACCTGGGGTACAAACCCTAAAATAATGTATATGATATGATAAGATAATGACTAGGAAAGTTACTTGTTCATATGAAGTGGATAATAACTATTGACGTACTGTACTCCTAAACTTATCCCTAAAGAAATGATCTTAAATTGACTTAATGAACAGATTGCTTTAAAAAGTACTATATGAGCATAAGAAACATAGCTTTTAACACAATCTTCGACTAAAGCTCTATTATAACCATGAGAAAATTGATTCGTCACCGGATTTCCCCAACCATTGGGTTCTCAAAAGGCTGGCCAACCAGGCGACCTTAGTTTGGCTTGAGACTTCTGTGACACCTCGCATAATGGGTTAATGAAAACTTAACCGATAACAATGCTTTTCGTGATCTTTCAGCGCCCGACGCACGCCGCCCAGGGGCGCTCCCCCGCCCCCTCCTCCGCCAGCGGCCGGCTTGAACAGGTTCTACCAACGTTATTAACCGTATTCTGTTGCCAATGAGTTTGTTTTTTGATTTTGACTTTTGGTTTTTTGATTGATTTGATCGAATCTTGAGCACATGCCAGAGACAAGAGTACCAACCAAAACACACACAAATTCTTATTGTGTTCACAGCGACAAAGTCTATATATTCTGAACTTACTTTCTCTCCCCGCCACTCCACCAAAACCCGAACAAAAATCCGAAGTGATCGCACGGTGCGCTGGAACGAGGACGAAACCGAGGACTTTGACTTCGAGGAGGTCGACGCGCCGAAGAGTCCCATGTACTTGAGTCACAATCTCCATTGAACATCTCCACTAACATCGCGAATCCCACATCTCGAGTATTCCAATTTGTTTTGTATTTCGCTTCTGGCACTCCCTAGATCGTAAGTGAACTGTAGCTATAGTGGCGGTTCAATATGTTTTAGGCATTTAACAAGCGTAAATAAATCAATAATCTGTAGCGAATTCATTTTACTCGAAAGTTTTATTGTCCAGAGATCTGTTAAAAGCTTCTCAACAATGTCCAGGATCGTGTGGTGTCTTCTGCTGGTATACTGCACTCCAGATGTAGTCTCCTCAGAAAAGTTTTCAGCGCTTCAGCTGTTTTCTAAGGTGATTCTAGAATTGGCCGACACTAATCTCGTCATTTGCCCAACTGCAATCAACCAGGCCCTGGCCCAAGTTTACCTGGGAGCAGCTGGAGAAACAGAAGCTGAGTTGACGGATATCCTCAATATTCGTGGAACTACGAAAACGGAGGCAATAGAAGCCTTTCAACGAAAACCTCGTATTTTAAATATCATCAGCCGAATGTACTTAAAGAATGGGTACCACATTTTGCCCACCTATCAGAAAATATCACGGAAATACTTCAATATCGCTGCCGACAGCATGGAACTTGGTATTAAGGGAGCCAACAAGATCAACCAGTGGATATCTTCGAGAACGAGAGGCAGGTTCGCCAACCTCATTGATCCTTCCTGGCTAGATGATTCGACAAAAGTGGTTATAGTAAACGTTGTACCTTTTTATTCGCAATGGATGTTCAAAATGGAAATGGGTGCCCCAGGCTATTTCTACATGCCGAGTGAGAAACGGTCAGTGCCTGTGGAAATGATGAACCTGGTAGCAGTCCTGAGGCATGACTTTCAAAAAAAATTGGACTCCCACTTAGCGATCTTGCCCTATGCCAACTCATCGTTATCCATGCTTCTGATCGTTCCGCGACAAGCTCAAGGTATCCAGAATCTGGAGGACAACTTGGAGCACCTGAGCCTGGTCGGCTTAAAACCCAAAAGAATACATCTCTCCTTGCCGAAATTCAAGGTAAAATACGACCAAGATATGGCCCAGCCATTAATGGATCTAGGAGTAAAGAAAATATTTGAGCAAGCCGATCTCTCTGACCTTACTAAGACCAAGGACACCTTAAGGATCGACAGCATAGCGCACTCGGTTTTCTTCAGGGTGGATGAACAGGGAACGAGGTCCTTGACAACCCCAGGTTCAGTTTTTACGTTGAGCTAACTAAGTTTTGTTTACAATTGTTGAATTTCACTTCAGGAGCTCAGAAGACAAGAAGTTTTGGGAATCCCGTAGCGGTAACTTGTAATCGTCCTTTCCTGTTTGCCGTTTTGGAGAATACAAAAATAATCCTATTCGGGCGAATCAGTCGTTTCTAATAGAATACAGTGTACCTAAGATGATTGTAAGCCGCACACCATAACATTAATTACATAATTATGAATGAAGCTACATAAATCTCATTTGCTAGTGTCATAGACTTCGTTTAGATTGGCGTTTAATTTATTTTATCGAATCGTTTGGATGGCTCAATGATGGGTCCTGCTTACTTCTTCTTGAGGAAGGGGCTGACGATAGCAGGAGCCGAGTAGGTGGTGATCGGAGCGGCGTAGGCGGCACCGGCGGCATAGGTGGCCACAGGAGCGGTATAAGCCGGAGCGCTGTACACTGAGGCTGTGTATGCGGGAGCGGCGGCAGCATAGGTGGAGTAGGCAGGAGCAGCAGCGGCGTAAGTCGAGTAGGCAGGAGCGGCAGCAGCATAGGTCGTTACGGGGGCACTGTAAGCCACGGGAGCAGCTGCGGCATAGGTGGCGGCATAGGCCGGAGCAGCGGCGTAAGTGGCCACTGGAGAGGCGATGTAGCCGGCCTGGGCGGCGGCGATGCAGAGAGCCAAGCAGATGAGGAACTAAAAAAGAGTTGAAAACAAATCCTTTAACGAATGAACTTCCCGACTTGCCAACTGTAACTTACCTTCATGTTGATTTGGTTGTTTGGGTTGGTTGGGTTGTCAGTAACTGATGCTGTTGGGTAAAATTCTTTGGCATTTTATAGTCCAATTGTCGCCACATTGCCAAAACGGGTTTACGGCTTAGGCAGCCCAAATACAAAAATCTAAATCAGAACACAATTGCCTCCGCAATGATATTTCTGCCGGGTAACGTTCAATGAACGCGGATGCCGCGCCCCACGCCCTCAGATGTTTGTTGGGAATTAGCAGCCAGCGGCGTGTCAAATGGATTACCCTTTCCCAGCTCTCGACAACTGAAATGGACGGAATTTCGATTCTTATTACTGATTGTTAGGTGGAACAGTTTAAGTGATTTTCTGTCAGAGATCAACTTACCTCTGATTATGAGTGTTTCTCCATCTGCTTCAACTATCTTTGCTCACTCAGTATTATTGTCCTTAGAAAAACTAACTTGGATTGCCTAGAGTATTTGTCAAAACTTAATCGATAGCTTAGTACTAGAAGATATTTGGTTGTGACTAGACCATTTTTAAACTTCATTGCCTTGTGCAGTAATTAGGAATGTTTACATAAGTTAAGCCTTACAATAAAGAGGGTTATGCTCACGGAAGTGGTGCTTCACAAGACTTCAGTTACAATAAATAGCTCTTCTTAGCCTACAACTTTGGTTTAAGGCACTTGGAATGGCCAAAGAGTAAGCCCTAAACCGGAGTTTCCGACAACGAGGTCTTCTTTAATAACACAGAACGCGGCGTTTTCCGCTTTACATCGATCTCGTAGAGCGCCAGGCCTAATTGATGGACGAAAGAGCTGAATTGCTTGTTTAGATAGGCGAAACTAAACGCTGGTGGTTGCTCCACGGCACAGGTACCCCGTAGGTCGTCATGCGCCCAGTGGGGAGCATCCACATCGCAGGGATGCCTGCCCTGCAGGCGAGGAAATGCCTCCGTGGACAGATGCGGATAGAAGACGTTTAGTAATTCAAAGTTCAAGTAGCTGCTGGCATTGGAGTGTACCAGCGCCTCGTGGAGATCTGCACTTAACGATGCCGGAATGGCCAAATATAGCTTGTAGCGCAGGCGACTTGGTCCCGACTGCTTTACTTCACAGTTTCCACTAATCAGCTTTACCTTCTGCAGCAGGGAGTGTAAGGAAAGGCCTCCGTACTCGTACATATAGAAGTCTCTTGGACGGCGATATCGCTGATGGGTCTGCCTATTGAAGTGCAGAACTCTCGAGCTGGGGATGTTGATTAAATGCAGGGGTAGGCTGTAGATGTGCGATGTTATTAGGTGCACGTGCGTGGCTCCCGGTTTAGTGGCTATCACATGCGACATGTCCGCTGCCAAGGGATAAATGCCCGCCTGGTGGATGAAGCCGAAGAAAAGGGTTAGCACCACATTGCTCACGTACCAGATCTTAAGCAGGTAAGGTCCTGAAGCTTTGCTTGAAAGCAGTCTGTCGTAGAACCAACGCAACAGCGGGTGATCCTTCTGGAAAGGGTACTTGGCACTAAATCCTGTGATCAGTTTTGGAGCATGAAGCAGTAAGAGGGGAAAGGTCACGGGTAGCAGGAAGCGCGGCTCCTGGTGGTTGATTAATGAGAGAAAGAAAAGTGGCACAAAGATGGCCCCTGACATCAGGGATACGATACTCTGGAAGCGAGGCAGCACTTGGTATTCTGCCCGGAAGAATCTCAGCAAAAGCTGGGCAAATGCTCCCAATGAAGCCAAAGCGAGGACATTAAACAGCATTGGCATATTGACCATCAGGTGGACATAGCAAGGGTGAACTCCGTGGCTGGCTGTCTGGGCAGAATCCAAATTGGCTTTGATAAAGTTCCAGGGCGTGAAAACGAAGTTGTCGATACTCAAGTGCATCATGTGGAGCTCTCCGAGAGTGAGATGTTGATAATACAGTGAGTCACAAAAGATGAAGAGGATCAGGGCAGGCAGGGAGCACAAACAGAAGAGCGCTATGCGAAGATTAAAGTCCCTGAAGGTAATGCTTCTGGTTCCCATTCCTCGTAGCAGCCAAAAGAAGACCATAGGCGCTCCAAAGAGCAAGAAGGTGGGTCTGTTGAACACCCCAGCTACGCAGATCGTCGACATGGCCATTAGGTGCTGCAGGTTGTGCGCCGGCAGGGAGTTTTTTAGCTTCCAAATCCGCACTCTTTCGCTAATGGACTCTGCCTTGTCGTACTTCTCCTCCAGAAATTCCTTTTTATATACAACAGTGTTCGTGCGCAGCATGCATTCGGATACCAAACAGAGCAGCCAGGAGCACATGGCCATTTCCAGGCTGTTCGAGAAGGTGCGGGTGCCAAAAACCAGAAGAATCCATGAGCTTCCCATTGCCAAAAGGCGGATTTCGAAACGGAGTCCATAAAGCCGGCAAATGCGGTACAAGCAGTAGTCGTTGGTGAAGGAGATCAGAGTGTAAATCAGTCGGGGGAACACCACGTAGGTGTAGGTTCCCAGGAGCTCCAATTGCCACCCGGCTCTCAGGCACTCCGCCAAGAATTCGTAGAAGCTCCATGGAATCCGAAGGAGAGCGAAGGGCAGAACTATTGACCTCACAGGCAGAGAATTGTTGAACTCCCAGGTGCGCGTGTGTTCCAGCCGAAAGTGGTCACCTGTAAGCCGGCGATTTAGTAAACCTATTCGGGAATATTGCCTTCCTCAATCCTCACCAGTCATCACCTCTACACTTTGGAAAAACTCATCCGGATGCACATAGCCAAGTTGGGGGACAAATACCAGCAGTAACCGCACTGCCGCAAAGCAAAAATATGTGCTCAGGTGGCGGTCGCCGGGAGAGCGATTCTGCCAGAGCTTTGTCAATCGCATTTCTTGGGATAAATTATTTATTTTTTTATTTAAAAAAATATTTGTTTTGTCAGCGCATTTGTGCGAATGGACGTTAGGTGTGACCTTATCTTGGCTAAGAACCAATAATTTAACCAGGGCTGCCAACGCAGTTTGAGAAACACTAAGCACTTTGGCGGTACAGTTTTGGAGCTATTGCTTATTTAAATTTTCAACAAAAAAACCATAATTGCTGGAATATAGTTTAAAACAATATTTTTTGTAAATATTTTTATATACATATATATATATATATATATATATGTGGATTTATATATTAGATCTATTAGTTTATTACTCACCAGTGATTTATTTTTCGATTTAGTCACTTAATAAGAGAGGCTGACATTTATAATAAATACGCTTCCATCCCAACCCTGTTTCCCGACTTGGATTTACCACCTGATCAATGGCAATCCATTCAGATCTCGCGCCTTCCGTTTATCATAATAATTGTGGAGCCGATGACGTAGTTTGTGGCTTGGCTAGGAAATTCGATGTCGGGTTACAGTTACGCAAGCCCAGTTTTGTGGCAAAATAGTTCAGGAACGCACATTCAGCGAAGATCCGCTGACGTTGGTGGATGACTTTGGTGGTGAATAATACCGGTGGGCGCTCCAGCGACAGACAGAGCGTCTAAACGGCAGAAAGATCAGTCTGCTTCGCTCCTCGGCAGCTACAAGACCGCCTACCCCAACCACAAAAAACGTGTGCTACCCATCTGGACTCCAGATTTTACCCCCCAGTCCCCCAATCCGCGAATTATACTGCCGATGGCGATTTGCAATTACGCTGATTTACTGATTTGCTGGCTTACTGATTTGCCCACTTGGCAATCCGAGTCGAGTGCGCGGGCCACGCTCGCAATCTCCGCTCGCAGTGATAATAATTAGCAAATAAATAAGCAAAAACCGATTGAACATTAAAAAACACTTACTTATTGCCATTAAAACCGAGTGATCAAATGGAAGAATCCCGGGCCTTTAAAAACCAGATAGCTGCCGCTCTTCAAGGGGTAAACATCTGGCAAATATCCGCGAGTGAAATTTGTCGTTTTTTGCTAAATTTAAAGGGAATTCAAACAAGTTTATTTAGTTCGGATGGACAGTGAATATATGTATAAATAGATAATAAATATAAAATAGTTTCAATATATATATAAGTTGCTGCTAAACAATTACTATACTCCAAATTTCAAATTGGTGAAGTTACGCGTCTCTTATTTCCATAATTATGTGCTTATTGTTATCATAAAATTACACTTTAATTTGGCGATAAGCATAATAATTGCTTAAATACTTAAATTCTTCTACTAATTTGTTTTGCCGTAATGCAATTTCCGCAATTATCCATTCAAACTCGAAACTGAATTAGTGAAATGGAACTTTTGCTCTTGTCAATCGGCCGGACAGGACGGTAATGTGGCAACCATTTAACAAGTCAAACTAGGCGCTCTTAATGGCCACGCCCACCACAACCCCACTTTCGAGGAGGCAGGGGCGGACGTTCGATTTCTATCAACTTCTTCGATGAGCAACAGTTTGCTGCAATTTAAGTTACACTTTGCCACCTGTCGAGTCCCAACTCGGTAGCTCGCAAGCCCCCGGCTCCGCCCCAAAGGATACCCTGACCAAAGCCCTGCCGAAGAACAGTCGGTTCGTCGTCCTGCCGACGACAAGCTGGCGCCCGCCTGCGCATCCAGCGTATAAAAGGACAACCACGGCCGCAGGATTCATCAGTGGCGTTGGGCCAAAGGAGCGGCGCGCGTCTCTCAAATCGAACGCATGGAAGTCAGAAACCTTGTTCATTTGTGCAGTGCCTGGGACATTAATAACAGTGTTTAATTTAAAGTTTGTGCCCAAGTTAATCTTTTTTTGTGAAACTTAAGAGAGTGTGTCAAAGAAGTTCGTTTTTTAAAGCTTCCATCAAGTAAGTCTAGAAAACGTTTACAACCACAAAATTTCTCATCTCGCTGTTCAGAGCAATTTCTTGTTAAGTTTATATATTTAATATATATAATCTTAACTCAGAAATTTAAAAAATAAGTTTAATATTGTTTGCCAATGGGTGGGTAAGGGTTGCCAATGGCTCGCCTTGTCTGAAGGAAATATTTAATTTTCAAAATTTTAATTAAAGTTACCTTAAAATAATATCTAAATATCTTTTCATTTCTTAAAAATCTACCGTGAAACATCTGGTAACCATTCCATATCTCAAAGTGTCTTTTGATTGTTTTGAGTTTTGCTCTCCGGCCTGTATTTTTAGCACTTGTCTTATCAGACCGCTTCCCATTCGGGAATTCCATCTGCCGACCGTCGGCACATGTGGCGCACTTTCTTCATCTTTATCTGCTGTTTGCCTTCGCGTGTGTGCCACAATTAAATGGTAATTAAAAAGTCGTGCCAGGAAGGGGTTTGAAGCCCCAAAGAAGATCAAGGCTGCGGTTGTTTTCATTGTGAATTCATTTAGCAAAGTGAGATTCTTTAAGCATACGCCATGGTGTACGATTCGAAATGTAAAGTGCAGCTCAAGGATAAGCTTTAAAGTAGCCAAGGGTAAACGGTTGTCAGGCCTCCGAAAATTACTATTTTTCACGATATTGGTATTGAACGGGTTCAGAATTAAGTAGAAACTGTGGTAAAATGCGTCAGAAATGTTACGGCTATTAATTGACCATCCCGAATCTGTTGCAAAATGCAAATGCAAAAATCTGTTAAATTGAAGGCCTCACTGGGGAGAAATAAAATAAATGACCATCATTAGGCATGCCCCATTTAACGCGATTGTTTAACTCCGGTTCCAGTTATTTGCCAGTCGATTCAGCGAGGCCAGCATGTGAGGAGCCGTGGGAAAAATGCAATTTTCGCGACCACAGCGCTAAACGGGCCGGAAAAGCGGAAAAGCGAGGGATTGCTGGGATTGCTGGGATTGCTGGGATTGGGGAAGAGCCCGTGAAAAGCCGCAGGTAGAGCGCAGGTATCGCTTTTTCTGGCCCCGGACTGAGTTCAGATCCAGAGTTCGGCTGGCTAAGCTCGTGCCGCGATCGGCGTACACTGCCACGCCTCCAGGCACCACGCCCCCGTCCCTGACACGATCCCTTCACTGCAACATGGACCGCAGCGGGAGCTCTGATTTCGGCGGAACAGTTGCCGCCACAGGCCGCTCGCATACTGCCCCCTGGAGCGATGACAAGGAGTCGCCAAACAATGAGGACGACTCCAATGAGGACGACGGCGACCACACAACGCCTGCCAAGGTCACCGATCCACTGGCCCCCAAATTGGCCAACAATGAGGTGAGGTTTTCTGGATATCTGAATTTATCACTATACCATTTTCCGAAAAATACACTTTTATTATTTAAGAACAATCTTTCCGTATAATCTATATTATAATACGCCTTTTAAATTAAGATCTAATACAACACTAGACTGAGCCGATCTAAATTTACTTAACCAAAAATCTAATTAAAATAAAATTTGGAAGGGTATAAAGAACATAATGTAATATTTCGATTGCCTTTTCAGCGGATTTTGGTTGTGTCCGTGACGGAAAGAACTAGAGAAACTTGGGGACAAAAAGCGGAGTTTCTACTGGCCGTCATTGGCTTCGCTGTTGACCTGGGAAATGTTTGGCGGTTCCCGTACATTTGCTACCAGAACGGAGGAGGTGCTTTCCTGGTTCCGTACTGTCTATTCCTGATCTTCGGCGGTCTCCCTCTTTTTTACATGGAGCTGGCACTGGGCCAGTTTCATCGATGTGGCTGCCTCAGCATTTGGAAGCGCATTTGTCCGGCCCTCAAAGGTGTGTATAAAGACAAGATATATTTCCCTTATAAAAAGGTATTAAAAAAGCCAAATGAACCCTAAAAAATGATAACAAATAAATAATAACGAGCCGGAGGCATGCGTATATAATACACGATTAAATGGCAATTTAAATGAATTACAAATATTGCATATTGAAATCTATAAAAGCGTTCAATATTTGCGAAGAGATTGTGCCTGGGGCTCTACCATTTTGTAATGAGAAATTAAGTATACGCAACGTGGCCCTGCGAAACTCATATGAAACATAAACTCGTGTGTTGTTGATGTCTGATATTTTACGCTCGGCCGAGCATTATTGTCTCAGCCAGATTCCGAGGACACCCGCACTTGTTGGCCAAAGGACCACAAAGGACCAAAGTTTCCTTTTCGGGGTGAAGTGGGGATTCTGTAAAAAAAACGAAGCCATTGTGTGTGCCTGCGACATTATCAAGCAGTGAAATGGATAAGAGTCACCAGATTTGTTGCAACAATTAACGACTCATTCAAGCGGAACGCACAAAGCCCAAATCAGGACCTCTATCCGGGCTCAAGGCCCTAATTAAATTGTCCTCAAATTGATTTACAGCAGCGATGAAAAGGCAGCCACTGGAGGGGAAGTCCTATTCAAAGTTTTGCATATCGAGTTGATAATTCCATTAAGTGACAAACAAAATGTATGGCCTGCTCCACTGGATTTGCCGCTCGCTTAAAGTCCGCTCAAACTTTTGCCAAGTCACTTTGTCTAGGCCAAATCCCACTCCACTCCCAATCCCGCTCCGAACACCCCTCGTAAAAAGTCCAAGAGCAAACACCACTTTGTGGCAGTCATCATTTGCTCAACAAGTGTTTGCTTTGGCAAACCTTTTGCCGAGCAACTCGAAATGAAAAGCAGCCGGAAAGCAGAGCGAGTGGAAAGCTTGAAGGAGGGAGAATCACGTGACGTGTCTTATTGGCCTCATAAGTAAGCGGGCGGAAAATCAGAGGGTGGTTTGTATAAAAGATGAAACCTGCAAATTGTCACGCGGGAATATTCCGATTGCTTTGCCGATTCCCCGTTTTCAATCAGAAATATTGCCATTCCCAGGCCAAGTTAAGCTGGCTGCCAGGAGCTACCTGTTGCTGATGATTTGAATGTTTTTTAGCCTTGTTAAGCGAGCAATTAAGGAAATTAATCGAGATTTAAGGACTGTAAAGGAACTTTGCATAACTTTCGATGTGATGGCAGAATTCAGAAGAGAAACATAAACATTAATTTAAGTATTTAATATTGAGTGAACCATTTTAAAATATTATTTTAATTGTTTTGAATTATGAAAACTATTATTTCCCAACTTAAACCCAAAACCCCATACAATTTCCAGGCGTGGGCTATGCAATATGCCTGATTGACATATATATGGGCATGTACTATAACACTATAATCGGATGGGCGGTGTACTACCTCTTCGCCTCCTTTACATCCAAGTTGCCGTGGACATCCTGCGACAATCCCTGGAATACAGAAAACTGTATGCAGGTGACCAGTGTGAACTTCACGGAATTTGCCACCTCTCCAGCCAAGGAGTTCTTTGAGTGGGTACCCCTGTATATACATCCCCAGATATCCGTTAAAGCGTCCGATTTGCAGGCGAAAAGTGCTGGAGAGCTACAAAGGCAATGGACTGGACTTCATGGGTCCTGTGAAGCCCACTCTAGCGCTTTGTGTTTTCGGAGTCTTTGTACTGGTGTATTTCTCTCTGTGGAAGGGAGTAAGAAGCGCCGGAAAGGTTGTGTGGGTCACAGCTCTGGCTCCGTACGTGGTGCTTATCATCCTCCTGGTAAGGGGAGTTTCCCTGCCCGGCGCTGATGAGGGCATCAAGTACTACCTAACTCCCGAGTGGCACAAGCTGAAGAACTCAAAAGTGTGGATCGACGCCGCATCGCAGATATTCTTCTCCTTGGGTCCTGGCTTTGGAACCCTGCTGGCCCTGTCCAGCTACAACAAGTTTAACAACAATTGCTATAGGGATGCCCTCATCACGAGTAGCATCAACTGCCTCACCAGTTTCCTGGCAGGATTCGTCATCTTCTCCGTTTTGGGGTAAGTTTCAAAACATTAACATTTTTCCCCACTTACAGATATTTTATATAGTTATTTAAAGGCAATAATTTCACTTTACAGATAGATTAAAGAAATATATTCAAACCTAAAATTATGATATCGCCCATTTCTAGATATATGGCTTACGTGCAAAAGACCTCAATCGACAAAGTGGGCTTGGAGGGTCCCGGGTTGGTATTCATCGTTTACCCGGAGGCCATTGCCACAATGAGTGGTTCGGTTTTCTGGAGCATAATATTCTTCCTGATGCTGATCACCCTGGGACTGGACAGTACCTTTGGCGGGTTGGAGGCGATGATTACGGCGCTGTGCGATGAATATCCTCGAGTTATTGGAAGACGAAGGGAACTGTTCGTCCTGCTGCTCCTTGCCTTTATCTTTCTGTGCGCCTTGCCCACGATGACCTACGTGAGTAGTCGATGGCTCCGAAAGCCCTGATTCACTTAATTAACTCCTAAGCACCCCAAATACATATGCATGCATGTCAAACTGGCCCATTTAACGCTCCATCTAGTTGATAGCAACCCTTGTTTAAATATGCCAGCCGGGAGTCGATGGATTGCCGTGTTAAGTGCTTTTTATCGTTGGCCAGTTAATCTCCACACACTCACTCCCTTCCTCTCCTGCATTTTTATCACCTGTCAAGAGCAGCGGGCATGTTTGCCTTCAACCTGGTCAAACAACCACTAACTCCTGCAGCCACAGCCCGGTTCTACCTCCCGCCACTTTATCTGATTACATTTGAAATTGTAATTTGCTGCCTTCTTTTTTCCTGTCCTGGTCACTTGGCCAGTAGCTCGGAGTGACCAGAATCGGTCAAGGGATCAAGCTATTCAATAACTCAGCCCTTGACCATTAATCAGTGCCAGTTAAGAGGAAGTCTGTTGAGTGGAAGCCTTTTATTGGTGTTATGATTAGGTTTCTCAGCTCAATAAGCTTTTAAAACAGATGGGGAAACATCAAATCAAATATGACAACCCAAGATTAGCTTAGTTATACTTCCTTTTAGGGCGGTGTGGTTCTGGTCAACTTCCTGAATGTCTACGGACCTGGATTGGCGATTCTTTTTGTGGTCTTCGTTGAGGCAGCCGGAGTGTTTTGGTTCTACGGTGTAGATCGCTTCAGCGCGGATGTGGAACAGATGCTGGGCAGCAAGCCAGGGACTATTCTGGCGGATCTGCTGGACCTACATTAGTCCTGTATTCCTGCTGGTGAGAAAAACTCAGAGTTCAGACCAGACTCACTTAATCATAATCAATATCCCCACAGACCATCTTCATATTCTCCATCATGGGCTACAAGGAGATGCTTGGCGAAGAGTACTACTATCCGGACTGGAGCTACCAAGTGGGTTGGGCAGTAACCTGCTCTTCGGTGCTGTGCATCCCCATGTACATTATCTACAAGTTCTTCTTTGCCTCGAAGGGCGGTTGCCGCCAGAGGCTGCAGGAGTCCTTCCAGCCAGATGAAAACTGCGGATCGGTGGTGCCCGGCCAGCAGGGCACCACGGTGTGACAAGACCACGCCCAAGTCCACCTCAACATCCGCACCAGCTGCACCAGTATTAAGATCTACAACCTCAACTGCAGCAGCAACAGCAACAGCTTGTCACCAACAACCTCGGGGGCCGAAGGAAGGAGCTGCCACGCCGCCTTCCACTCAAACAATCTCAACTGCAACCACAGCTGCCCGCCGGAGGATCACAACAGAATCCGGAACCAACAACAGTATCAGCATCACCACCGGATCACCAGCGATATCATTAGTGCTAGTCTCAGGCAGTCGCATAGCCATAGTTTAAGCCTCTGCTCGGTGCAGAGCAATCCCATGATGACCCCCAGAATCCAAAATGCTGCCGAGGACAATAACTGCTCGCTGAAACTCAGCAGCTGCCAGCCACTCAAGTTCCCGCTGGCCAGCGAGTGGCTGGTCTAAGGAAAGCCTCCAATCCAATGCACCAAGCGGGAGTCCTGCAAAGCAGCCATTTTGCAGGACTCCTCGTGCACAGTATACCATTTCCCAAAAGGGAGGAACGAGGAACTCAACGTATAATCTAGTTTGATTGCTTTGCAAGCTCATAGTGAACATAAGTATTCTAGTTGTCCAACCAACGATGGTGTTAGTAATGAAACCCTAGCCTTAGTTCGTAAGCGTTAACTAGCTCAGCTGTAAGTGAAATGAAGTTTGGTAAAATGCTTTCTAAGTAATAACTGCTCTGAAAAAGAGAGCGCCCTGTACAATGCATTACTCAGCTGTTATCCTGCGCAAAGGAAAAGCACTGTAAAACAGCCATTTACAATGCTATTCCGACGTGTCTGATGCTTTAATTTGGTTTTAAATATAATTTCGGTTTTACGAAATAAGGAAAACAGACTCATTTCTTGTTACTAATGGATTAGAAAAGGCAAAAGGCTGCTGAAAAAAAAGGTAATGAAGCCAACTTCCCCCTTGATTTTCATTTACGCACACAATCAGAGTATTTAAATTATTTAATTTTTAATTACATAAACTTGCCGTTAGTTAGTTACGCGTAGCTGACGAAATAATAAAGAAGGATCTTGATTTCATAGGGACAATGAACGATGAATGGTAGCAATGATTGATTTTCTGAGACTACTGCACATCCACGCCGGAAAAGTGGAGACGTTGTTCCAGTTCTTGGACGCCAGAAGCAGCAGCTAATCCTGCGGCCCCTGCTTCTTTCGCTTGCGACGAGGCTTGCGCTTCTTCTTTCGCTCCTATTTGCGCGAACCCTTGCCGCCCTCGTCCTTGCCCTTGTCGGTCTTCTCCTCCGACTTTTTGCCATCCTTGTCCTTCGTCTCCTTGTTGTCCTTATCCTTGCTCTCCTTGTTCTTCTCCTTGGCGTCCTTGCTATCGCTCTTGCCCTCCTCGGCATCGCGGTTCGCCAGCTTGTTGTTTATCAGGTTGTGCAGGGCAATGATCGAACGCACCATAGAGGCCAGGTAGACGACCAACATCTGGTCGTTGGTCTTCACGTACATGGTACCCGTGAACTGGTCGTTGGTTATGTCGGGCAACAGGTTAAAAATGTCTTGCAGCTGGTAAACAATCTGGTGGTTGATGGGCATCTTGCTGTCACCGACGCGCTGCAGATACTGCTTTATGTCCCGCAGTTGGGCATTTAGGCCCTTAAGGCCCATCAGCTGGTTAGTAATCTTCTGCGACAGGCTGCCCACGGTGGTGTCCTTAATATCGCGCAGGAGGTGCTCAACGCCAACCTCCTCCGCCTCCTCGGCGCCAATCTCGCTAGGTACATGCTCGAAAGTCTTGCTAGTGGGCGAGCCATCGTCGTGGACCTCTTCTACAGATATGTACGCTTCTGTGGGTAGACCGAGGTCCTTGGGCTTTGCATCGATGATTACCAGCACGGAGTTGGGACAATAGCGGCGGACCAGCTCGTTAATGGCTATGTCGTTCTGGTGGAGTTTAGGACCAGTGTGATACCATCCTACGACGCGTTCCCTGGCGTTTACCTTCTTGAACATTCCGTACATGTTCTCCAGGTAGTCGTGATCCAGGAACCAAACGGACTTATCTTTGTCGTCCTCGTCGAATGGCACTAGTTAAAGAGGGGTTTCACATTTTGTGGTCTGCCTTTTGATGCCTTGGCATTACTCACCCGCAAAACTGTTTGATACGTCAAGGACTCCTTTGGATCGCCAGCAGCCCAGGAGGACGCCAACAACGCGCTTCTGGTTGCCGATCTTTCCCATCCGATTAAAGTGGTCCACCACGGACAGCAGTACCAAAGGATGCACTATCACTTTGTTTACGCTCACCTCCAGCGACGGCATGTTTGTGCTTTTTTGTGGTTTTCGGTTCGAATTTTACTGTGACGTCTGCACCGCTTGCTAGGTGCCAGGCTGTTTTGTTTTATATGTGGTTTGGCTTCCTGCGACTCCGGTACTTCTTCGCGAAATTACCTGCAATTTGCGGCAAAAAATTTCAGAGGCGAGAAATGACAAGCAGAAACGACATTTAGTGCGACCAACTGATTTTTTGGTTTATAAACCATAGTTCCTAGAATTGCCAGGATTTTCGATATGTCAGAAACTGGTAACACCTGACATGGCTCCAATGGCGGGATATTAAGTTAATATTTATATTTTTTAAGAATTATCAGGTTTCCTTTTGTGATAACTAAGAAATTATGCTTCTAGAAAAAAATAGATCTATGAATAAACTTTGAAAGAGGGAAAGTAATTTGAGATTTCGACAAAATAAAGTTGCCAGATTGTCAAAGTGGAATATAAGTTTTCTGAATAAATGCCCATAACTTAACTTAGTAATAACTTAAATTAAATGAAACTTTATTTTATCATTAGTTTCAAATACCCTTTCAATGAACTTTTTGTAGGTTCGTAAAATCATATTTTAAGATTTTTCGTCAAAATGCGTTAGTTCTTCTTGACAACCGAAAATAATGTTTGTCTCATTATTTTATTGAATATTAAAGCTATATTCTTTAAAAATTATTTACGTTTTAAGATTTTATTAAAAATGTCAAATAGATTGTTGATGTTAAACTTTGTGAATGTGACATGCTTAAACTTTTATCAATTCAAAGAATATATTATACAAATTTTATAATAAACAGCTGCTAAAAATTTCTTAAATCAACATAGGTTTCATTTTGTAGAATATTAAAACAAATAACTATATTTTAGATCTATGTGATCTGTATTATAAAGCCACTTTTAAACTATGTATATATATACATATATTGATTCCTATGCCTTATGATAATGATCATGATTCCAATTCATATGATTAATGATTTGAACTTAAAGGCACTAAACAGAAATCTTGTTATCATATATTTTAAACAATTTATAGGTTTGAAGTTTTTAGCTTTGAAACTTTGTCTCAAAACTTATTAGACATCAATGCGTAACAAAAGATAGTGAATAAGAAGTTCGGCTGTTCCATACTTTCTTAACTTTTGTTTTTGAGGTATTTCAACAGCACTGACAAACGGCCACACAGTGGTTGAGGAAAAATCATGAGAGGAAAAGCGCCGTGCAAACAGTTAGAAAGTGCGCAATCGGACAGCGGAAGTGCGAAAAAGAACGGTCAATGAGACTGCACCTGCAGTTGGCGAACTAAAAAGCAATGTAATTAAACGGTTGTTGATCAAATTAATCATTTTACCCGCCTGCATGTGTGTGTTTGTATAAGTGTGTGTTGTTTCTGTTTTTGCCCTTGGCGAAGGCAAATAGTGCTGCTCTCTTCTCGCACAGATGACCTAAACGGCCATTTTTGGCTGGCGTTGCCAGACAGTTAATTAGGGTGCAATCGCAGTGCAGTGGCAACACCAAGCATTTGCCTGAGAGAAATTTTGAAGCATTTTCGGGGGAAAATACGACTTAAAGGCCTTCAGTGTAAGGTAAAACCAGTCAAAATAGCGATAGTGCACCGGTTGATAAAGCGGAACACCGTTAGAGTGAGTGTGTGCGGATGAGGTAATTCCCGATTCCGATTGCGTGCGTCCCCAAGTTTCACGCCCATTCGCCGACTTCATTTGCTCCGTAATCATCAATGAGTGGTTTTGGGCTAATAAAAGTGCGAATCGTGCGCGTGTTGTTTACAAAGTACGAGTTGCATAGTGCGAATTGAAGACGCCAGTACCTAAGCGTTGACTTGGGTCTTTATAAATTGCCGAGTTTCGCCGAGATTTGGCCAAATTAAGTGATTGGGAGAGGGGCATGAAGGGGGGCTTAAAAGCCCAGAGACCAGCTCACAAATACTCAGAAAGCAGACTCACACACGCACACCAATACACACACGCTGCGCTCTTTTGTCTACGTCTTTGACTTTTTCTCGTTTGTAATCATTTCCCTCCCATTCGTACGTGTTTTTTCTACAAATATTAGAGCTCGCGAGCTGCTAATTAAATTATAAAACATACAGAACACAGAAGCGTTAAAGACGGGCCCAACCAAGCCCACAATCCCCGCTTGTTGGCCTATTTTGCTGAAAAGAGAGAAGGAAACCGATAGAACTGCTGAATAGAAGGTGAGTTCAGACCACGAAATATGGGCTACATTCCGTATTCCACGGGGCAATAGTTCCCCGGACTCAGATCCAGATTTGAAACCCTGCCAAGTCTGCACCTGCCGAACCGAACCGAGCCTATCCAATCAATAAACGCTTGCCAATGTCCGCAGCTTTCACCAAATCTAGTTTTCCTGCTTGGACTCTCGCCCAGGAGCTCACTATGTAGACTCAACCCACGACGTCATCATCATCAACAGGGGAAATCACAGAGCGAAAGAGCGAAAATGTCTTTTATCACCAACCTAAAGAAGGTCTTCCACCTCGGCGGGGGTGAGGCCAAGAAGAAGCGCTTATACAACAATATTAAAATGGACACGGATCCAGCGGAATTCTGGGATATGGTCGGAGAGCTGGGCGACGGCGCCTTTGGAAAGGTCTACAAGGCCCAGCACAAGGAGCAGAATCGCTACGCGGCAGCCAAGATGTGTCAGTTGGAAGACGAGGAGAACCTCAGCGACCACATGGTCGAGATAGACATTCTCTCGGAGATCAAGCACCCTAATGTGGTGGAGCTATATGAGGCATTCTCCATCGATGATAAGCTGTGGGTGAGTATATACATGAGTTCCTTTCGATCAGAACACACAGTAATCTCTTTGAAACCGCGGCTTTAGATGCTTATCGAGTACTGCGACGGCGGAGCCTTGGATAGCATTATGGTGGAGCTGGAAAAGCCATTGACTGAGCCACAGATTGCCTATGTTTGCAAGCACATGACCGAAGGTCTCACCTTCCTTCACCGAAACAAAGTCATACATCGCGATTTGAAGGCAGGAAACGTTTTGCTTACAATGGAAGGTGGCGTAAAATTGGGTAAGTTTTTGAACCAACTCCCTCTGAGCACTTCTTCATAGAGGAATAAAAAAATTACAGCGGACTTTGGAGTATCGGCGAAGAACAAACACACCATGCAGAAGCACGACACCTTTATTGGTACTCCCTACTGGATGGCCCCCGAGCTGGTGCTCTGTGAAACGTTCCGGGATAACCCGTACGATCACAAAGTGGACATCTGGTCACTGGGCATTACGCTCATCGAGCTGGCCCAAATGGAGCCGCCTAACAGTGAAATGTCGCCCATGAGAGTGCTGCTCAAGATCCAAAAAAGCGAGCCACCAAAGCTCGATCAACCTTCTAGGTGGAGCAAGGAGTTTAACGACTTCCTCAAAAAGTCCTTAGTCAAGGTTTGTTACTGTATTGGCACTAAATGACTTTACTTTCTAAGCTGGGAATACTTTTTATGTTCAACAGGATCCCCAAGTAAGGCCCACAACGGATGTGCTGATGCAGCATGGCTTCATCAACAGAAATCTGGATGCCAAGCCCATTAAGGATCTGCTGCTTGAGTACAAGGCTGAAGTCGTAGAGGAGGTGGTGGATGATGAGACCGAGGTGAGTGGCCCTTCGTACCTAATTGATCTCTGCGCCCTGCACCGCACCCTTGTAGTCCAAGTGCTAGACGTGATGATAATCTCTACGTTCTCTCACCTCTCCAAATGCTCTTTCTTCTCTCTTACACGCTGCCGCCTCAACCCAACCAAAATCGCACCGCGCGATATATTATTTTTTTACGTTTATCTTGGTTTATTCTCGACTATTCTTTGCCTTGCGTTTATGTTACGTTCCGTTTTGCTCTGCCAAAATGTCGCAATGTTTTTTCTTATCATTTGTATATGGTTACTTGGAAATAATTGATATAGAAGCTTAAACGCCAAGTGAAGCGGCGCTCGCTCTATCAGAGGGTTGGTAAGTCGTTCTACAGCAACCCGTCCGTGCTTCGTCCGTCCGCCCCTGGCACCCACACCCTCCCGTCCGGCACTACATTCCAGGCACTGTCCTCCGAAAGCGGGCGCACAATTAGTTTACTTATTTTATCAGCATTGTCAAATGCCGCTTATCACTTAGCTCCTCCGCCGGAGGCATTCTTCGCTCGTTGTGTTTGTTTATGTGCTTGGGTTTCTCCGTAAGCCCATTCCATGCTATCGGTTTCTTGTGGTAATTATAGCAAGCACACTTTCAATCATATATGGTTTTAAATTACTAATCAGTCTGACCAGCATATAGAAGACAAAAGTGTCAGTTTCACTATTTATAAGCTCCTTACCTCAAGTCGTAGATATTGTTTATGGAGCAATAACAGATAGAATTCACAAACAGTGCGTTTAAGAGTTAACGTCTTAACGTAAAGTAAACATTTTTTTTTGGTTGTTTTGGGGTTTAAAAATAGGAATTATTCATAATAGAAATTTTAAAAATGATATGCAAATTTGACATGCCGAATATAGTTAAAAGTTTGTAGTTTGAGTTGCGATGTAGTAAAAGCCAAGTAGATCTGCTAGCCGAGCAGCTATACTTTAGGAATTCCTGTAATTATCAAAATGCTAATGAGTTGTTTTTAATCTTTCTTAGGAACCCCGCAACTCGGCGCTCCAGCTCGACCTGGACGATGACTCTGCTTCATTGCAGAGCCAAGACATTGACAAACGTAAGACCCTAAGATAAACCCCATATTTAAGACCCCTATATCATGTCATTTATTATTTCACAGTTCCAGGTACACCTACATCCATTTTGCGGGATGCCAAAGAGCAGTCCCAACCAAGTAGCAGTTTACCAATCGCAGCAGCGGCCACTGCAGCAGCAGCTACAACCACAACTAAAGCAACCACTCCGGACAGAACAAACCACACAAAGGATGACAATGCCGAAGCGGCAGCCCAGCAGCTGCCGCATACCAAAGTGCCTGCTCCAGCGCCGCCGTCGACCCAACAAACGCCACCACCGCAAGTCCAGCAGCCTCCTACACCACCAGCCCCAACAACACCGGCCTTGCTGCAAAAGAAACCTGAAGATGTGGCAGCTGTTACCGAAGCAGTTGAAAAAACTGAATCCGACAAGAAGGTGAGAACTGTTCTTATTGTTAAAAAATACAAAATTATATGAATTCTAAAATTTATGTAGCACTTTGTCAAAAAGGAGAAAGGCAAAGCCCCGCCCCCGCCGTCACCATTGGGCCTTGCAAATGCTAAGCCGGCTTCCATTGATTCCCAGACCTCTCCCAAAAGTCTGGCCACACCCGAACCTGCCTCGCCTGTCACCACGGCCATTGAGGTGGCCATTGGCCAAGAGGCAATGGAACCTAAACCGCAGCCTCCTTCGCCCACAGCTTCTTCCATTGTGTCTGTGCAATCGGTTGCCTCCTCCAGCTCATCGAGCAGCGTTTCAAATGCTGTCCTCAGTTCGAGCACTTCCCTCATTACAATCAACAGCGATCCACCCACACCGCAGCATCATCAGCCGCTTCCACCGCAGCCCCAGCATTTGGTTCTCCCGAATAGCTTGGAGTCCGTGAGTCAAATTACTGTGGTGACAAGCACCCATCCGCCGGTGATAATCGATAATTCGATGGTGCCGCCTCAAAACGAAGTGATCATTGTTTCTAACGATCTAAACAAGAGCACTCATCTGCATGAGTCTTCCACGGACGACGACTTCCCTTCGCTGGACGACAGTTTGGGCGATGCCAGCACTCCACCCCACAAGCAATCCTCCATGATATTGGCTGTTAATGACCCATCAGGAGTGATCCCTGCTCCTCCTCCGCAGCCGCAAACTTCTTCCGCTGTTCATGCCCGCAAGCTGGACGAAAGTGAGGTGTTGATTGTGAGTCCTTCCTACGCGGATGATGACTCTGCTTACAACACGGCATCTGGCAGTCATAGTCACGATCACAGCGATCATCTGATGGACACCAGCCACGTGTCAGTGGTTACAGTGGGCGATGAGGGGGTTAAGGTGAAAGACAGTAGCAATGAGCTGGGCAAGCGACAGCCCAACGGAGTTGGCATTGTGCCCGAAGACGTGAACATCATTGTGAACCGATTCAAGCACGAGAAGCGATCGCCAGACAGCTCGCTGAGCGAGAATGGCTCGGTTCGCGGACGTCGGGGTATTGAGGTGCTGGTTGGCGGCAGCGGAGGATCCGACGTGGATAGCATTGGCACCAACACTAGTCAAGACAGCCGACACGAGACGGATCACAATAACAAGCAACCACAGCAGCCTTCAGCGGCCGTGCTTATGCCTCCGCCTCCTCCGTCGGTGACGAATCACCACAACCATGAGACAATCGATGAGGAGGAGGAGGTGGTGATTCGGCCCAAGGCGAGGGTTCCGCCCGTGGTCAAGTCTGTAAATGCTCAAGGTCTCACCAAAGAGGAGATTGAGCTGCGCAATCTGCGCAAGAAGACACGCAAGCGCACACGCAAATTCGAGATCGATGGCGTGCAAATGACCACTACCACGAGTCGTGTGATCTACGGCGACGATGAAAATGGACGAATCTATGATGACCACGACTTCCGCAAGCAAGAGCTGCGTGAACTGAAGATGCTTCAAAAGCAAGAAAAGAAACAGCAGACAGAACTGTACGTGAAGGAGCAACAGGCCAAGGAGCAGCAGGATCGCCGTTTTGAGCAAGAGCGATCCTCCCTGGAGAAGACCTACGAGGCAGACATGGACATGTTGGCGCGGCAGCACAAGCAATTGGTAGAAAAGACAGAGCAAACTCAGGAGAATGAACTGCGCTCCTCGTCCAAGCGCATTCGATCCGAGCAAGAGCAGGAGTTAAAGATCTTCCGCGAGAATCTCAAGCAGGAGATTCGGTTGCTCAAGCAGGAGGTGGACCTGTTCCCCAAGGACAAGCGTAAGGATGAGTTCAAGCAGCGCCGCTCTGCGATGGAACTGGATCACGAGGAAAAGGAGCGTGCTTTCCTGGACTCCTTAAAAGAAAGGCATGAGCTTCTATTAAGGCGACTTAGCGAGAAGCATCGTGACCACCTTGCCACCATTAACCGAAACTTCCTGCAGCAGAAGCAGAATGCGATGAGAACGCGAGAGGCACTTCTGTGGGAGTTAGAGGAGAAGCAGCTTCACGAACGCCACCAGCTGTCCAAGCGGCATGTTAAGGAACTCTGTTTCATGCAGCGCCACCAAATGATCATTCGACACGAGAAGGAACTTGATCAGGTGAAGCGCATGCTGCAGCGCAAGGAGGAAGACATGGTTAAAAAGCAGACGATGGAAAAGAGAGCACTGCCAAAGCGAATCCGAGCAGAGCGCAAAGCACGAGACCTTATGTTCCGTGAATCTCTACGTATTTCCATACACCTTGATCCAGAAATCGAACGCGATCGCTTGAAGAAGGTAAATATCAATTATTATATTTTTAAAATGGAGCTTTAATCGATTTTGGTTTTTAATTACAGTTCCAGGAGCAAGAGAAGAAGCGCTATATGCAGGAGGAGCGAAGATTCGAGGTTAAGCATCAAAAGCAATTGGAAGAGCTACGCGCCACCCGCGAAAGCGCCATAAAGTAAGTATTCTGAAGGATTAGCGTGCCCTGTACTTATTTTAATCCGTTTACAGAGAGCTGGAGCAACTTCAGAACGAGAAGCGACGGGCTCTGGTAGAGCACGAACAGTCCAAGCTGTCGGAGATCGATGAGCGACTAAAGGGGGAGCTGCGCGAGTGGCGCGAACAGTTGGTGCCCCGCAAACAGGTGTGTATGCCAATCGCCATTCAAAATCCGCCCAAGAGTGCTCTTAGCCAAAAGCTCTCAGCCTTATTTCGTTGGTGTTTTGTGTTTCTATAATTGTACAAAGTAGATCAACTCGTTTGATATAAGTTGGTAATGATACTTACTGTATATTGATTGGTTAACGGTGAACTGTGGTGTCTTGTGCTCCCTATTTCCCATATAAACGAAACCCTCCCCGACCCGTTCTGTCAAAGTTGCGCGGCTTAGAGATGAGTAATACCCGGAGTCGATTTCTGGGTGGTAAAACGATTGGTAGTTTTATCGCCCTTAGTCAATGTGTCATTCAATCATTGACTCATTTGCTAATGAGCTAGAAAAATTGAGACAATGAATCATTAGTAAGCTAATCTATTTTTAAATGTGAGCCAAGACTACTTCTATTACGACAACTCTGACAATGACTGACAAACCTCTAACTCATCTTTAAGCCAGTGCAACTTGACCGAACCAAGGCTGAACTTAATCCAATTATTTTTTCAACTTTTTCTCTCTCTTTACACCCACGCAAATGCATTCACTTTGGTGGCCTACTGTACCTACTACTACCTACAAAACTAAACCAAAAAAAAAAAAAAAAAAAAAAACGAAAACGATAATTTAAACCAAAATATATAAAAATGCTTACTGCTGTGCTTCCCAACTACTAACCAAAATCAACCAATCAATCAACGGATTTGGTCATGCATGTGTTTAACAACCAAATCAAAACGAGAGTAGCAACTGAACCAACTGATCAAGCTGGCCATTGACCAGCATGAAAAACGCTTTGGCCTGGTGGCTAACCGGGAGGAGTTTGAGGACCTGGAGGTAGAACTGCCCGTGCGCCTGCGCAACATCTACAACGAGCGAAATTCGCGCATGCTGCCTCGCAACACTTTCATTGATCCCCAGCATGTGCCGCGCTCGCGCTCCTCTCTCCTGATGATGGGCGGCGGTGGCAGCCGGCTGTCGAACTTCCGTGGATCCGCTCCAGATCTTAGCCAAAGTGTCCCCAGTACTCCCATCCTACACAAACAACAGCGATCGCAGATGATCAGCGATCTGGTGCTGGAGGAAGACGAGGAGCAGATGCTGAGTGAACAGATGAAGCGGGCAAGTGTCACCACGCTGCCGGCACAAAACCAATTGCGACTGATTACAAAACTCCCTGCTAATGAGCTGGTTAAGGTGGTGACCACTACTCCACCTCTGAACAGCGCAGAGGACACGAATGCTAAGCCAACCATGAGCACTTTCAGGAGCAGTACTTCGCCCAAAACACCAGATGATTTTGGCTTGGTTACTAACCGCTTCAGCCGCTTGGATGCCAATGCAGCGGCAGAGGCCAGCAGCGTGGAGCTGCGCATTCACGAGGGACCAGTGCTGACGGCTCACACGCAACGCCTACTGCACACCACCTCATTTGCGATTAAGCGTCCCTCGTTGGCCAGTCGGAGCAGCGGCCGATCCTCACTGAGCAGTGCCCAGTCGATGTACAACATAAACGAGCTGTCCACGCGGTACACCACCGATGCAGACCTTATATTTGACTCCGGACGCAAGGCAGCCGCACTGTTGGACGAGGTACAGCCCGAGCTGAGGTCCTCCGTTAAACCGGGACACAGTCGCCTTAATGGAAGCGTGGCATCGGCGGACTCGGTCCCGACTTCCGAAGATTTCTATTACGATCTGTATGCGGCCAAGTACAGATTGCCAAGGGTCAATCAGCGGCAGCACAGCTGCGAGGAGGATTCATCGGCCATCTAAGAGACGCGAACTCAGAATAATCACTGCGAAAAGCACTTGCCACGTTTCCGTAGCCAGATTCCCGCATGCATCGAAGCTACTTAATACTAACCAGTCAATCAAACCTGTACTCACACCTACTGACACTAATCATCCCGCTTTTCATTCCTCGCTTGGTGCTGGCTAACTGCACATCCTTCGTAGTCTCCCAGGCACCTCATCTTTCTAAATGACTTTGCAAAGCTTTTAACCTAGCTACCGCTCTGCATCGGAAATTGCCATACATTTTGTCTTGCCAAAAGTTGAATATGTTTGTTGGAAATGCCATTTTAATGAACTAGAAATGGATTACTTGTTTGCCTATTTTTAATGTTAAAGTATTCTTGACTTGGATTAGCCCTTTGCCTCCAAATGCATTCCATTTAAGCAGTATTATCGAAGTACTTAGTAACCGAAAATGAAAACAAAAGAGAATAATAAAGAATAAAGAATACAATCAACATTCCACTTAGCAAATTGCCAAGCATTTGTGTAGCCATATCTTACTCTAAACATTCTTATAACTATAAACATACAAATAAATATTATCATATCGCAAATTTCATGATGCTTCACTGTACACACCCACTCTTACATACAAACACCCACATGCAAACAACAACGCGCTGTAATCGAAAACCAAAACCAAAACAAAAACAAAACCAAATCAAAAAATCTGTATCCAAAAACTTTTCTTGCCGGCTCTCCTCTTCTCGTAATGTGTAAAGCAACTACAGCAGCGGCTGCAACAAGAGGTTAGTCCTTTAATCTATCCCCAGTGTGCTTCCCAACTTTACGATATAGGCCAAGGCGGATATCGGATAGTAACGGAAGGCACTGTGTATTCTATGTATAGTTCTTCAGCTCTAAACGTCCTACTAATGCATGCGCTATATAGCTAAACTTTCCTCCAAGCCCATTTCTATCTCTCTAACTTAATATTGTGAGAGTGAATGTTGTTGCCTAGTAGCACACACCAATGTTCTCTGAATGTACTAATGATATTTTGATACTTTGAACCAGCGCCTGGAGGAGACCTTCGCACAGCAGCTGGACGAAATGGAGACCCTGTACGGCGGGGCCCTGATTGTGTCCATGCCCTCGGACACACTGCAGCGAGATCACTTCACCGGCTCGACACGCAGCAGCCTGAGTTCGTATTCCGAGGGCTGACGGCCAACATAACGACAAAGTAATGCCCGGGGACGGGAAGCCAGCCTGTCGAACCGGCAAACAAAGGAACTGCAGCGGCAGCAGCTATGACAGCTATGCAGAACGTAACAAAACAATTGTCAGCCATCCATTAAGGCTTCCGCCAGAGATTGAGCGCCCCTGCCTTTGCTTATATATAGAGAGTATATATTTTAGATGGACATGTATGTATGTAAGTCGTGCCAAGCAGCGCGTCGGGTCAAGCTTAAGTTTTTTGTGTCGTAAAAACGTATTGCATAAGTTTAATTTTATTGTCTTTCAGTGTATGTTAGCCTATTGTTCTATTATTATTAATGTTCATGTACATGTCTATCGATCTGTCGAAGAATCCAATGAGTTAAAATACCATATGTACTAATATACATGTCCACATGTATATACATATTTGTATGTAGTATGTGCGCGAACCGTCAAGAGCAGAATTAATACTTAATATTTATCTATGTTTAACACTCCACACCACACACACACACACTCCCGCAAACAAATGGACAAACATACGTACACCAAACAAATATTTTTGTTGACCTTATCGCTATTGTAAATATATCTATAAATATTTGTATCTTAACTATGCAACTTAACACACACACAGACACACTTAGAGACAGACACATCCACGGAAAAGTTTAGTAAAAGTTAATATATTGCAACAGGAGAAATATGTGAGATGTTGGGATTCCATGAAAGAACTTGTGTGAGCGATCGAGTTTCGAGTTGCGGACGGACGTAGATATGCAGTTGGATAATGAGAGGCCGTCGGGTAACGATAAAAGATATTTATATTTGTAAACGTTTATGCTTATATATTTTATATAAATATATATATATATATTTAAATTAAACAAAAACAATATTCAACAAAAAAATATTACAAATAATAGAAAAATTACACCAAAATGGTTTCTTATTTGTTAGAGGGGAACCTGTTCCTTTAATGTAACGCCCCCAAAGTTCTGTCTTTCTTTATAGCTTTTTTGCCCTAACATAAATTTAATTTAGCAAGATTAAATGGAAAACTTTGCTGTCGAAACTTCAGCAACCTAACTGCAGTAACTAAACTTGACTGGAAGCTGAAGTGAAATTGCGCTTGAATGCCGGAAAATATGTCAGGACCAAAAATTGCTGAGCTCTCGCTGGCATCCTAACAGTATCTGTCCACCGAGCTTGGCATTTCTCTAGCTGGGCGATGGCATGCTGTGCCTTTCGATTACATGGTCAACGGTGCGTATGGGCAACGTGGTGGCACTCTAAAGAATTTTCCGGCATCCCCGACAGTGGTGTCGCTACCAAATTCCAGCATATGGATGCATTGGCTACTGATAAACTCGACCTTCGTGCACCACTCGATTTCTGGCCATTTGTTGCAGCAGTTCGTGGAACTCTCTTTTCTCAGGACCACACCCTCGGCCCACTCGCAATCAATTCAGGCCCTAATCCGAGCTGGCCATACCCTCGCCGTCACCCTCATCCCCTTCCTCCCAGTGGCACAGAGCTCTTACTCATCTTTCCTTTTGCATTGTCCATTTATGTATTTTTATATCATATGTGTTGGTATGACGAGCATACAGACCTTAGCACATGCCAAGCCCAAGGGGAAAGTGCGGGCTTGTCGGTTGCCAGGATTTGGATGGGTGATGTGGGAGGGCGGCGGTTCAGGGTGGGTGTGGGTCACTGAAGCCACTGCCACTGCCACTGCCATTGCCAGTGCCAGTGCCATGTCAGGCGCGTTAGATCCATTGTTGTCCAGTTTAAACGCAACATGACTTGCTATTAATAAAGCTAAGGCACTTGAGGGACCCGCTCGTAATTGACAAAGGGTTCGAAGTTAAAATACTGTAACTTAATTACCTTTGGCTGGGTAATCATAATCATTTAAGAAATGCTCAATTATTATCCAGCAACACCATTCAGAGTTTTCGGCTCCGGGGGGTCTATTATTTTTCACCAACAAAGTAAGATACGTTTAAGCCAGCGGCTGTTAATTTTTGAAACCTATTTTATTAGAAGACTGTTGTTTAATAATCTTTCACAGATAAAAGGTTAAAAATTAACTGACTTGCAGTATAAGTGATTCAATAAAGTAGTAATCATAAAATAATAAAGAAGTTAGGCACAAATCAAATCAAAATAATCAAATATGAGTATTTTAGTTAATTTTAACAGCTTTTTTGAAAGACGCAATTCATTTAATATATCACCTTATTTGTTTATCATTTGGCTATTGTTGGCCATTGTTCCCCAATTGTACTTAACGTGCTCTGATTTGAATATAGCAGCCAGCAGTTGAATTGACTTGAAGCCTAAGTGGTTACTTTCCTTACAAATGTAGTGCTGGCCCGGAATGCCCATTGAACTGGCAATTGTGACCGTACGACGGTGGTATTATTTAATTGAAATGTGAGAATGCGCTTTTCCAGGGTTTCCACTTCACACGAACACCCTCGCAGCGCCACTCACACTAACGCGCTACACTTACACTCATTCGCCAGGAGTCCCATTGAAAAGTTACCAGTGCTGTTGCTGCTACACTTGGCGTTGCTGTTGTTGCTGTTGCAGATGTGGCATTCGTAGATGTTGCTGCTACAAAAGATGGCACTCGAGCAATGCCCGTGGGCCTCGTGCGGACTTGTCTTCGCCACCTGGAATTCCCCTTGCCACCCACTGGGTGTCCTTATCCCCCAACCGGCCCCCTTTCTCAGTTGGACTGTTGCGGCGTTTTCATTCATATTCATCCATTAAGTTCCGCTGCCAGCACATTTTGGGCTGTACACACACACATACACACACAGTGGCATTCCATTTTTCCGTATGTCCTTTGTGCGAGGGTGTTGGTAAAAGGATGCTCGCCATGTTGCCCAACAAACACAAATTCCAGCATAAAGAAGTCGCATACTCTCTCTATCTCTCTATCTCTTGTTCTCTCTCCCGCTCGGCTGCTGCTGCTCGGCTTTTGCTCTCTTTCCTCGACTCTGTACCGTTATATACCTTGGCTAGAATTTTCAGCTTCAGTCCCGGATGAGATTTAGCAACGTGCGCTACAGCCTCTCTCTAATTCCGCTGAAAATCAGAGCCACTAGCCGAGTGAAAAACAAAGCGCGTGCAAAAAGCTGCCAACTATTTCAAGGGAATTTTTACGACAAGCAATAATTAAATACATAAATAATAGCAAATAATTAAGAGTTGTGTTGTGTCTACATATATAGCGAAAATAATAATCCCGATTACAATGTTAAATGTGGAAACTTTGGGCACGCAACTGAAACTGAGGCAGCGACGTCGGCGTCGCAGTTCGCATTGTGTATAATAAAATTGGCGAAAGGCGAAATGAATTGAGCAGGGCAGTGGATCGAAAGGAGGAGAGGCAGGAGGAGCAGCGGGCAGCAAGGAGCGGCAGGATACGATACTAGAAAGCAGAAAGCCGAAGATGTGCGCGCACAATACAAAAAATTACAAAGCATACTTTTGGGAGCGGCAAATGGCCAAAATCAACAGAAACAGCAAAAGCAACAGCAACACCAAAGCAGCGACGCCGCCAGTGGCAGAGCCAGCGACGCAGGCAGCATCACTAAGCCCAACAACAAAAACAAAGCTAGTAACAACAGCAACAAGAACAACAACAACAACAGCGATGTCACCGTTACAACGGAACGTTCACAAATAAGCAATAGGTTAGAGCAAGAGGGCACGAGAGCGCCAGGAGAGAGCGGTGAAAGCAAGAGCAAGAGAGGGCGAGAAGGAGAGAGCCCAAGTAAGTAAGTGTGTGAGAGTTTCCAGCTGTATGTGTGTGCGTTGGCGGCGCTGTCGACGACGGCAGCGCTGCTTTCTCCGTTTCCAGTGCTCTCGTTTTGATTAAACTTTGTGCGAGTAGGTCGGTGGGGCGCGGCCCAGCCACCCCTCCTACTACCGCTCCCGCCCGCACCATTCACCCCTCGACCTCTAGCCCACCACCAGTTCGCACAACCTCACCCAAGTCTGCACAGCGAAAAAAGCATCAAAAACAGACAGAAAATGCTTATTTTCTAGTGCATAAACTATTCTAAATGTCCTGTGTTCTGAGAAAACAATAATAACAGTAAAAAGGTTGTGATCAATCGAAGCAAGTTTTTACATTAAAGTCAAAGAATTCTTCGTCTTTATCGTAAACTTTCTCTTTTGGTATCCAAATGAATAATTTTTGAATATAAAGTATTTCAAGAACTAATCATTATTATCAAAAATTAAACCACATTTTAATGCTTTACCAGTGGCACAATATTAAAAAAAAAGAAAGAAAAGTGATCATAAGTTAAGTAAAAATAGAAATTTCTCTCTGTGCGGGCACATTTCGCATGGCAATATGCTTAGCGGGCAGCCAGAGCATAAGGTGAAAGCCAGTCCAGCAATTTAATTTCCGCAAACAAGCCAGGCAAAGCAGCTCGCAGCTCGTAGCTCGCATCTCGGTCCGAGGCAAATCTAAAGGCATCCGCTTGGCATCAGCAGCCATGTGGCAAGCAATTAAACTCGCGCAAAAATTAACATAAGCCAGCAGAAAGGAGAAATGAGCCCAAGTGAAAGACAGGGCGCTCGAAAGTATGCAAGCTAGTTGGCCTGCCCTTTCTTTCTTTCCGTTCCTTTTGCGTTTCCCAAAGTACGTGTGTGAGTGGGTGGGTGTGTGTAAATAGGCGTAAGTGAGTGTCAGTGTGTGTGAGCGTTGACAGAGCCCGCATAAAAAGAAGCGAACCAGAACGAGAACGAGAATAACCAATGCAAAATAAAGCCGACTGTTGATGAGCTGATCAAAAATACACACTTTGCAGGCAGTGAATATAGGCTATAAGGAACAATTTTCAGCTACATTGTTCAAGAAATATTTCGATGATGTTTTATTAGAAAAGAATTTGATAGAAACTACAAAAAAAAATTCAATGAAAATGTTATACAATTTTTTAACCTTTGCAATTAGTTTTTCATGTTCAACATTTTGATTCTCAGAAATCGAACCCTACCGCTCCTTTCCTGCAATTAGCAAATGAAATTCAATTGCCAGTGTTTCACTTTTCATTTAATCAGCGGTTGCCAAGAGCTTACAGAAAAGAACTGTGTCACCTGATCACCGGTAAGCCCCTGATAAGAGGCAAATTTGCAATCATCCACTGTGCAACTAATTGACTGGCATTATTATTTATTTGGCTGCGATAAAGGGGAGATTTACAGTTGGCAAACTTATACCCGAAAATAAGCCGACGCTAGATTTATGGCCAAACAAGCGGCCAAACATCGGGAGCTGTGGGAACTAAAAAGTGAAATGTGATTTGATTAGCGGTTGCTCACTGTGTTTACTTCATCGTTCCACCAGCTCGTGGCGGTGTCATAAAAATAGCCTAATAAATGGCAAAACAAATCCTCGCGGGTCGCAGGTTGCTCATGCATGAGGGTGTGTGTGCGGGTATGTGCGGGTATTCGGTGTATATATGGTTACTTGTGTTTTTGCCCCCGACGCATTTGATAATAAATCCATAAATCCTTTTTTTATGGCAGCCAAAAAGCGAGGCACGGCAACAAGGAGCTCAATTCGATTACTTGCCGAAGGAGCGGTCGCCTGATAAATTTGAATGTAACAGTAAGCGGACAGCTAGCAGTGGGAAAAAAAGGGAAACTGATTACCAATAACTACATAGTTACGCCCCAGAAATCCGTAAGCTGACGTGGCCAAGTCAAAATCACGTAGCCGAGAAATAACGATGCAACTACTAAAGGGATAACCAAGAAGAGTAGTATCGACTCACAATCGACTGGCACTCGACTACGGCGATTTGTTTTTTTCATTTATTGGAAATGTTTTCCCCTCTCCATTTGTTGCTGAGGTTGTTGTTGTCAATACGATACGTCGGCTCAATTTATGGCGCCCCATTGGTTTGCCCATCTCCATCTCCGCCTCTACCCCCAGTTTGTTAGCTTGTTTTGCAATTGATTTATACGTGTGTGCGTGTTTTCAATGAGATAAACAGGCGGATTTTGATTGATTTATTGGTTAACGCTGCATTTAATTGGGCATCCAGTGGACTTATAGCCATAAATAGCCCAATACAAGAGCAAGCCGTGGAAATTATGCATTGATTGAGCTCGACAAAAGGTCAATTGAACCGTCAGTGTGCACATTTCAGATATGATTTTGAGTATGCAAATTTGATATTTCAATTCGTTTAATAATTGAAGCAATTTCCATTAAGTAGGACAATTGTTGGTAATGCCTTTTCACAAGCCAGTTTTATTGGCTTTTAATTTCTTTCCTTATAACTGGGAAAGCCTAATAAATATAAAATATAACCGTTTCGTAGGAAAATTATAAACAATTAGTGTAACTACGCTATACAGCATTTAAGATTATAGTTAAGCAGAGCCTAATAAAAGGCAGAAATTGTAAATATCAAAATGTATCCTTCTTAATATTACGTATACGCAAATTAATGTTCTGCCTGAAAGTAGGCAGTGTTTTTAATCCAAACAAACCATTTTACTGCTAAACTTGTTTCCTGGTAATTATGGCCGGTGAACACCTAAATAATGTCCAGTGAATGCAATTTTCTCGTCTTAATCGGAAAATGTACTTTGCAGTTGCGGAACGGGTTGTTTTCTTTACTGAAAATCAATTTAATGACAGGCTTAAAGTAATAATGTTAGGATAGTAGAGCAACAAACGGCGACTTGGTTTTCCTCTCACCTTAAACGCATTTGATTAAGTTAATAAAAAAAGTCTTTTGTAGGTATGCAATAAAAACAATTGAAAAATATGATTCCCTTAGAAATATTACGTATACGTAAAATAGTTTTCTGGAATTTGACCCTTTTGTGGCGTGATTTGTATTGAAAAAAGCCCTGACCAACGACAATGGCGTAGGATACAATAAGTTGGCAACCATTGAAAGCGAATCAATCACGGACATCTCATTGTGGCCCGTTCATTTCGCCACAGCCACGGCGAATGCGTAACGTGGCTTTTCATTACGATTGAAAAACTTTCCAAATCAAAGTCGGCGCGCACAATGGCTGCCAAATGAACAAGCCCCTTATTTCATATTTCCAGATATGTATAGGCATATGGCCAATGACAACATCAATAGTTTTGAAAAGTGTCAGAGGAAGCCGCCTGGAACATTTCCGTGCCAAAGTGTCGGGGCTCAGAGCTCGCAGCTCGATGCTCCTTGTTCGAGCCAAGTTCTTTCCCCGACTGTTGCACGGCTGTTGTTATTTTTGTCGTTTTTGCCACTGCCATTGTTGGCAACAGTAATAAACGAACAACAAATGTTGTGGGTGTGGCTGGAAATGGGTGCCTGGCTGAGGCCTGCCAAGGAAACGCATTCAAGCCGTTTTCATTTTCATTTACATTTACATTTACAGCTACAGCTACATCCACGTTTTCATTTCCATTAAAACAAATCACACAGAAAATGTCATTTTGCAGAAAGGACAAAGCAAGTCGGCCCCTGGCATTGTAAATATATTATTTCGCTTCCTTTCCCACGATTCCCTGCCAAGATGAGATATATCAAAGGCCAGTGCTGGGGACATTTTCTCATAAATCTCGCCATTCTTCTTTCATGGCTCTTATCCGCCGGGCTGGGCATTCACATTCGGTAATCGTGTGACTATATGCCATCCCAACCGCATGCAATTATACTTGCAGCTTGAAGGTCTTTATCGCCGCGATTATAACCGCAGAGCTCAAGTATTTTTCGGTGCTTAGCCACCAAAGTTAGCTTATCATAATTATCGCTACATCCTGATGCCTGGCGCAGAATCTTCATCTAGGTAATTTTCCCTTAAGCAAGCTAAGTCTTTCCTCTCTGCCATCCCCTGACACTACCATATCTATGTGGTTAATTTAATAATTTTCTCCGGCGCCACTTTACAGCTTATCCTTCAGCATCTATTTGAAGTTTATTACTGCAATTCAAAAGGCTGTAAATTCGCCAAGTTACGAGATCTTTGAAAGGTTAACTATAAGGCAGTAAGGAAAAGTTGTCAATTTCACTACTCGAGTTGTTTGCAATTTTCTAAAATGATGGTTAAAAATAAAGTGGGTCCTTGCATCCTATAGCAATGTTAGTGTAGTAGTTAGGTGAAGTGTATTTATTCTCTTGAAAGTGAATTCAAATATGAAATTTGCTTTGTTTTTTTACATTTGAGAACTAGTTTATGTGAAGGATTTCGCAGTAGAAAAACCCGATTTCATAACCTATGCGGGGACAAGTCTCTAGAACCTTCATAGTAATTATTTAAGAGGTCCTTCCGGTCGGACCGTTCTGTAATCCCAGCTAACACCCCGTCTTTTTTATTGCTTGCAGGGTCAGGGGAAAAATGGCCAACGCCTTGCGTGGGTGCAGCCAAAAGGATAAGCATCAGATGAGGGACAACTAAACGACGAGCAGTACGCAGAGAGAGCAAGCAAGAGAGAGAGATTGGGAACGAGAGAGGTAGAGATTCGTAATCCTTACAGCTGCAAAGCAGATAAAATCACGTATCCGCCATGGAGCCGGTGATGAGTCTGGCATTGGCCGCCCATGGACCGCCCAACATACTAGAGCCGCTGTTTAAAACCGTAACCACGAGCACAACGACCACCACGACCACGACAACCAGCACGACGACGACGACGAGTAGTCCTTCAGGATACTCACCGGGATATCCGGGCACCACCCTTCTGACAGCCTTGCTGGAAAACCTTACATCTACGGCGGCTAGCGGGCTGTATGATCCCTATTCGGGAATATACGGAAACCAGACGAATGGCACAATGGGTTTCGAGACGAAGGGACCCCGGTACTCACTGGCCTCCATGGTGGTCATGGGCTTCGTGGCGGCGATTCTGAGCACGGTGACGGTGGCGGGCAATGTCATGGTGATGATATCCTTTAAGATCGACAAGCAGCTGCAGACGATCAGCAACTACTTCCTGTTCTCACTGGCCATCGCGGACTTTGCCATCGGAGCGATATCGATGCCGCTGTTTGCGGTTACCACTATTTTGGGCTACTGGCCATTGGGTCCTATCGTTTGCGACACCTGGCTGGCTCTGGATTACCTGGCGTCGAATGCTTCAGTTCTCAACCTGCTGATCATCAGCTTCGATCGCTATTTCAGTGTCACACGCCCGCTGACATATCGGGCCAAGAGGACCACCAACCGGGCTGCCGTGATGATCGGCGCCGCCTGGGGGATCAGCTTGCTCCTTTGGCCTCCCTGGATTTACAGTTGGCCCTACATCGAGGGTAAGCGTACGGTGCCCAAGGACGAGTGCTACATCCAGTTCATCGAGACCAATCAGTACATCACCTTCGGCACTGCACTGGCCGCCTTCTACTTCCCGGTCACCATCATGTGCTTCCTGTACTGGCGCATCTGGCGTGAAACGAAAAAGCGCCAGAAGGACCTGCCCAATTTGCAGGCGGGCAAGAAGGACTCCAGCAAGCGCTCGAACAGCAGGTGAGCAGCTTAAAAGGGCTTAAAGAATCAGGGCACAAACTAGACTAAAACCCAATTGATAATGACAATAATTTCAAATTTTCGTAGTGACGAGAACACGGTGGTGAACCACGCGTCGGGCGGGCTGCTGGCCTTCGCCCAGATGGGCGGCAATGATCACGACACCTGGCGACGACCGCGCTCCGAGAGTTCGGCGGATGCGGAGAGTGTCTACATGACCAATATGGTCATCGACTCCGGATACCATGGGATGCACTCGCGCAAGTCAAGCGTAGGATCTATTGCCCTAATAGCTTCCTTTTTCTGGTTACTAATCCAAAATGCCATTTACAGATCAAAAGCACGAATACAATCAAAAAATCGTACACCTGCTTCGGCAGCATCAAGGAGTGGTGCATCGCGTGGTGGCACTCCGGTCGCGAGGATTCCGACGATTTCGCCTACGAGCAGGAGGAGCCTTCTGATTTAGGGTATGCAACACCAGTAACAATTGAAACTCCTTTACAAAGCTCCGTCTCCAGGTAGTAAAAACAATCAAAATTCTGATCTTTAATCGTCTATATTTCGAGTAAGCCGACACCGCACCAAACTCTCTCACCCCAAGCATTCCGTGTTACTCGCATCAATTGCACCCAAAGCACTTTTCCGAGCAGCAAACAAACAACCAGCACCCAAATATATACATTTGCAACTTCGATTTCCCGTCCACTGCTTCTGCACACACAAACGCAAAGTGGCAGTGGTGAGGAGGGTGCAGCGGGATGAGAGAGCATTCGCAATCCTTCACTGGCCACCACGATGCACCAACCCACTCACCTTCCCCTCCCCTTCCCATCACACACAAATCCATCAAAGTCGTAGCAACCAGCACTAAAATGGAGGGCTTTGCACCACTGCACACATCGGGATGGAAACTAATTGAGGCTTACAGTCCGAAGGAGCTGGCAATGGCCATTGTGCTCCCGGGATTGTTGATTCCGATGGCTGTAATTAATTCATGAAATCGGATTCGGACAAGTGTTGGTTTCAGCTTAGTTAACGAATAATATTGCTTGAAGGGAAGGAGTAATTCCTGAGTTCCAAATGCAATGGTTCTTGCTGACCTTTTGTTGAGAAAAACAGAATTTGTATTTAGAGATTTAGAGATTTGTAATGATATTAAGGGAAAGCGATTTCAGCCTTAATAATATAACTAACTAATAACTTATAGAGTCTCCACAATGTTTCTGTAACTTTAAGTGAAAGCGTCAATATCAGGCATTGTGTAAATATTTTGATCAGCGAAATAGCGAAAAGAGATTAAAATTCATTTATACCTTATTATAAATAGTAAGCTCTTTTTGTATTGATTTGAAAAGCTGGAGCCAGTCAAATATTGTTTTAAATTCTCAATTTATTCATCGCAGAAAACATACAAAATTGCATGCAAATTGTCGCATGGATCAGTGGGGAATAATTAGCAAAAATAAACATATTAGCTAGAATGCAATTTAGTCCGCAATCTGAACTGGCATCAAAATGAATTAGCGAGAATGAGCTCTCAGATGAATCTGAAATGGGTCGCCATTAAGGCCAGCCCAAAATATGTCGAGAGCCCACTTAACCCCCGCTAACTGCAATCGAAACGTATGCCAAAAGCCCATTTTAGAGATATATGTTCATTTTCTGGCACTGTTCAGCCCCGGACTTGTTTCAATTTATGTGTGCCACTGGCATTCGGCTGGGTAATCGATTTGAGTTGCGATTTCCGGCCACTTGTTTCCATTCCAAAACGCACTCCATATCTGCACTCTATATGCATGTGTTTCGTTCCTGGGTGTGTATGTGAGTGTGCTGCATTCGGACGAGCAGTTGCATCCTGAGTTGGCCCCCAAGCTGTTGTTGTTGCCTGTCTGTGTCGTTGGAGTGGTCCGCTCTAATGTGGGTTTTTGAAAATGCGATACCAATGCCACATCCTTTCTGTTTCGTCCCTTTCCACATCGCAGATGCACCTCGATGAACGTGATGCGGGACAACTACTCGATGGGCGGCAGTGTGAGCGGCGTCCGTCCGCCCAGCATTCTCCTGTCGGATGTCTCGCCCACGCCGCTGCCACGACCACCGCTCGCCTCCATCTCGCAGCTGCAGGAAATGAGTGCGGTTGCGGCGAATCCAACTGCGAATGCCAATTCCAGCAGCAATGGCAATGGCGCCATCAGCAACAACAACAACATCAACAGCAACCACAATGGCAATGGCACGGTAAATGGAAATGGCGGCGGAAACGGAAGTGGAATCGGCGGAATGGGAGCAGCCGGAAATGCGACGCACCGCGACTCACGCACACTGCCCGTGATCAATCGCATTAACTCACGGTCGGTGAGCCAGGATTCGGTGTACACGATACTCATTCGCTTGCCATCCGATGGGGCATCTAGTAATGCGGCCAATGGCGGCGGCGGTGGAGCAGGTGCGGGAACAGGCGGTGGAGGTGGAGGCGGAGGAGCAGCTGCCTCAACGACCTTGAGCCTGCAAGGGGACTGTGCGCCCTCCATCAAGATGATACACGAGGATGGGCCAACGACGACCACAAATGCATCAGCACCACCAGTCGCCGCCGCCCGGCGACCCTTGCCGTCGCGAGATTCCGAGTTCAGCTTGCCACTCGGAAGAAGGATGTCCCATGCCCAGCACGATGCCAGGCTACTCAACGCCAAGGTTATACCCAAGCAGCTTGGCAAGGGCGCCGGGGCAGTGGGTGGAGGAGTGGGCGGCGCTCATGCCCTCATGAATGCCCGCAATGCGGCCAAGAAGAAAAAGAAATCGCAGGAAAAGCGGCAGGAGTCGAAGGCGGCGAAGACGCTGTCGGCCATCCTGCTAAGCTTCATCATCACGTGGACTCCGTACAACATCCTGGTGCTGATCAAGCCGCTGACCACCTGCTCCGACTGCATCCCCACGGAGCTGTGGGACTTCTTCTACGCCCTGTGCTACATCAACTCCACGATCAATCCCATGTGCTATGCCCTGTGCAACGCCACCTTCCGGAGGACCTACGTCCGGATCCTCACCTGCAAGTGGCACACCCGGAACCGCGAGGGCATGGTGCGCGGCGTCTACAACTAGACAATTAATATTTAATCACCCATCAACTGGCCAGAGAGTACCGGTGAACTACTAGTAGTTGCAATAAGTGTTGTGTGCTACAATTTTGGCAGGCAGTAAAACCAAAACTAGGCTTAGGATTACCCATTGACAAGCAGTACTGATTTTTTGATGTCTAGCCCCCGACTATATACACGCATTACCACTCCGCGAGGGTTGCCCTACGATTATTTGCCAGAGCTGAGGACTTCCTAGTTAGTTTCCAATGAGATAGTAAGGTTTGTTCACTGAGGATATGGCTAAAGGGAAAAGTCAGGTTTCAGGAATTTATCTTTTCAAAGTTCAGCATTTTGTTCTTGATCTCAAATCACTCAAAAGGTTAGATATCCCATTCGAACTGCTTCCAAATATGCCAAAGATCTCACTTAGGTGTCTTTAGATTTAATTCCCGAGGCAACCCTCCCCAGCACCTGGTCAACAAAGAGTTATCACGATGATCATGATGATCCCGGAAAGCGAGAGATTCCATTTTGTTAGGCGTTTACGTACAGTTAGGTAGGCACATGCTCGATGCTCGATGCAACAAGAATTTAATACAAATATAATGGATTACGATTTGCAATTCATGCATACCTATATTTAAGGATATATATTTATTATTATACACATGGCAAATGCAAATGAGTTAGCTTAAGTTGTTGGCGAAAGGCAGAGAGGCTGAGAGGCAGAGAGGCAGAAACCCAAAAAGCTTTAATACAAGTTCAAAGTAGGAAGGATTAGGTTCCGCAGGCAACGAATGGCGGTTGCATCTTGGCCAACCAGTGGAAACGTTATGTTCTCGTTCCGAATTTCGTTGTGTAGGTTGGGGGGTTATATGATTATATGATATGACATGATATGTATTTAATCGTAGGGGAATATTGTGATTGTACTGCTCGTTTTCGATAGTTTGAATCAGTTTTTTTGTACATGTGCGTAGATACCAAAACCAAACCAAAAGTAAAACTTGCAGACAGAAACCTGCGAATATATCTGAATATGTATGTATAAAATTACGAGTATTTGTATGTATTAAGAACGCAACCCACCATGGTTCAACAACTAAGAACAAACCTTTTGTAACTGACGAGGAAGCCCTCCCGAGGACGGGGGACGGTCTAAAACCGAGAGTAACAACCGTAACGCAAGCAATATGTTCGGGCGTGTGTCGAAGAGATGGCCCAGTTGGGGGAAGATCAGGGACACGGACATAGGGCGGGAAAGGGGCAGGGATCAGGATCAGGATCAGGATCAGGATCACTAGACGGAATAGTATTTAAATAACCCACTAGGTTGTGCTGAAAGTGGCCAATCCAACGACTGGCGGACCATCTCTTTGGACAACATCCTCGAATCGTACCACAACTCATAGCTATTAAACCAAATGCTTCTTCGAAGTGCACCAATTCAAGTAACTAACTAATAGCAAACCGCAAGCATATTTAAAGCATATGAAGAGTAAAATACATACAGTGTAAGCAAACGACATCCAGGTACTACCATATATTCGATGCGATCGGGGAGCGAACATTTTTAATGAGTGTGTAGGTAACTAATTGAAATATTAACAAATTGTTGGCCCAAGTATATCCGAGTGAGACGGAATCGGGGTCTGGACGCGAATCAAGCCGAAATCAAAGCGACGTTTGTAGTGTCTGTGACACCATACGCATATTTATACCTAAACGATACGATATATACAAGTACATATATATGAATACGACGTTTAATATAAAGTAAAGAGCAACAAGAACAAGAACAAGAACAAGAACAAGTGTAAACCAACCAACAAACCCAAAAGACATGATTTACAACCACGCACACACATCCTAAAGAAGCATATAGTACTGCAAACAATATATATCCGACAAAGCCAATCGCGAGTCGAGCAAACCAATCCAAATACCTATACCTTACCTACATATAGCCTTTAGACGTACATATATAATCTCGGCCCAGGCCGGACACTCGATTACAAATAGATCACGTTTTTGACTACCAGCGAAAGGTTTGACATAGGATTACAGAGCGAGGGCAGAGGGACAGCATTTTGAGGATGAGAGCAGATTTAATTGCATACAATCTAATTGTTTGGAAATATACTACGATATATAGTAATACATATATAATTTAAAGCTAACAATAAAAATGTGAATGAAAAAGAAGTTTACTCGTGTATTTAGTCCTTTTCTTGGTTCTCCTCCCCCTCGGCCTCATTGCGGTCGCCTTCGTCTGGGTTCTCCCCGTGGCTCCTCATCAGCATTTGGGCATTCTTCTGGATGATCTCCAGTTTCTGCTGCATCAGCTCCTGCCGCCTCTGCTCGGCCTTCTGCTGCTTGTCCTCCAGCTCCTCGAGAGTTGGTGGCTCCGAGCTGGCTGCCTCCTGCATCATCTGCTGAATCCTCTTCGGTGGCTGTCGCAGAGTCTCGTTTAGCGGCATCTCCGGATTGTCATCGTTCTCCAACGGAATGGTAAAGGCCTCCGATGCAGCTGGAAAGGGTTTCGGGGTGGAGTTCCCATTAAACGACTTAAGGGGTCTACTCACGGTACTCCATTTTAGTTTTGGTTGACTTGGCTGAAACGGGCTTTGGTGACTTGGTGTCGTCTACGGTGGTGGACTTGGAACTGGAGCAGCCCATGCTACGCATCCACTCAGGCGCAAGGCATTACGCCTAAGACTTCCGTTTTAGTGCTACCTTTAACGTTTCCGTTCGGCGGAGAGATGGCTAGAAACGATGCTGATGTGATTTCCTGCTGCAGCCGCTTGGTTAGAGCCAACATTCAATTTCCGCCGTCGCTCAGCTCATTAGACTACGGCCGAGTGCAGCTGAGGCCACGTTTAATGGCTCATTAGTATTGATTTTCCTGGGATTTTCCGCAGGTATCCAAGCCCTTCAGGACACTCCAACGCAGGGCACAGCCGTTTGTGAGGACAACGCGATGGCAACTGACTCAGGGACAAATTGCAATGCAAAGTTTTCCGCGCGCGTGACCATTATTAATAATCGTCGGTATGGCCAGAACGCCGGGACCAGGATCAATATTCACATGAGGTTTGCGTGGGTGCGGTTAATAATGAAGCGGCTAGCCAGGACAAACACAGACAGACAGGACACCAGCACACCAGGACATGAGTCCCGCGAACTAGCCCACAAAATGTCAATCAACTCTGTTGGCCATAATCAACGCTAATTGCGGTTTCATTCGCAAACACCGTCGATATCCGAGTTTAGTGACCCACTCAACTTTGACCGGGCCAACGAGTGGGATGGCTGGTTGGGCAGCTTTAGCCTTTGATTTCTGTCTCCGCCGTCAACACTTGGCCATAAAAGCCCACATGGCCCGAACAACTAACGGCTTCCGGCTGAAGACCAAGTCAAAGTCGAAGACCAAGACCGAAACCCACGGAAACCGCGGCGCGTGCCAATCCACCGCCCAGGTCGTCCACACTTAACCACCGCACAGTGGCTTTATTGGGAAATGTTTTAAATTTGTATTTTAGAACAAATAAACAAATAAAATAAAGGATTTGGATAAATGATTTAAGCTTACAGGTAGAAAAAGTAAGTAAATGAAAAATATTTAAAAAGTTTAATATGATTTAAGATGAATTAATCGAGGACGAAAAGTAACTTTAACTTATAGTTTTGGTTTTGATAAGACGGAACAATTAAGAGCTCCACAGTACTTCTGTTGGCAAGTGGTAAGTGGTAAGCATTAGTATGTGCCACACGTTGCGCCTTTTGTGGCCTCTTGTGGGTACCCTGCATGCAAAGTGCCTCCGCCGAAGCGGAAGTACTGGGCCCCTTCTCCTCCGCCAGCTAAAAGATCAATGGGAAGACGAGGGCCTGGGCCTCCTTAGCCCGAATCGAGGGCCATAAGCGGTAACAGGTGCTAGACGGCGAGTACGGCTACCTGTGCCGGCGAGTAATGAGCGACGTTTAATTAGGTTAAGTGTCAATAAGATTATGTCGTCAATCAATCAATTGCACAATACCCACCACGGGCACATCCATCAAGCGGCTAAATACCAAAAGGCATTTGTCCGTCGCTCTTTTTGTGAGTGTGCTTAATCCAAGCACTCTCATAGATACACACTATATATGTACGAGTTTAGTATAGTATATATACTTGCAAGTAGCTGTCTATAATTGTCGGGGTGGGGGCTCTCAAGTGGGGCGTTGCCGTTTGCCGCTCGAGTGTCATTTCACTTGATTGAACCATAAATTTCTTGGCTTAGATGCTTCGAAAGCTGCAGGAGCCGTTTAAATTGAAAGGATAAGCCGCTTTCCATTATATTAAAAGACTCTCAACGATTTGGTTTTATGCAAAAAAAGTGGTTTATATGTATTTATGTATTGTATAATAAAACAATATAAACTAGTAACAAAGCAACATGATCTCTGCGGTTTAGGAACATCCATATCATCCTTGTTCTCCATTTATCATTCAATCATCGATCCTAATTCATCTTGATATCGGTTTAATGCCTTTACGTTGTATAACTTGCAAAACGTTTAAAACTTACGTATGTAGATATATCTTGGGTACCAGATCAGGGTTTTTCCCTTTCTTTTTCACTTTTCTTTTCACTTCTCCTTGTATAGGTATAAAAAATAGTATATATACGATATAGTAGATATAGTATGACTTAGACTTAGCAGGCGACCGTCATCCCTGACTGATGACGTGAAAACTTTGGATAGACTTTAAGAGAGTTGTGGGTGTAATGGTAATGGTAATCTCCTGCTGATGCTTTTTTCAAATGGTTTGGGCAAGTGTGGATAAACGCAGTTCTCAGTATTGGATAAGCAGTGGGCGTAGCTGGGGGCTAATCGTATTCCTGTTTGATGGTCAAGGGTTTCTCGGCACTGGTATCGCTCTTGGCCGGAGTTCCTGATCCTGAGGCTCCTGATGCAGAGGCTGTTAGCTTGTTGCTCTTGATCAGATTTGCCGCCGTGGAGCTGAGTGGTATGGTCACATACTGATTGCCATCTGTAAGGACAGAAGGTATTAGGATTTCAGATTTTGGGGGTTAGCAAGTTACCCACCTTCTTCAGCGTGCAGCTGCAAGTGTCCCGACTGTATGAGCTGCCTCAGCATTTTCTGCGGTATGTTGGCAATCGAAGCGGCTGAGTAGACATACTTGCTGTCCGCCGGGGCTCCTCCTCCAGCGGCTGTGGACGTCGAGGGTCCGTTGTTAGTCTCAGTCTGATAGTTCAATGGTGGCATGGTTTTGGATCCAGAAGATGAGGCAGCCGCCGACGATGTGGCTGCTGATGGTGCAGAAGACGGCGCTGATAGCTCTGTTTTGCTGGCTGATGGCTTGGTTGCCACCTCGGCAGCCTCCGCCGGCATCTCCACATCCGACGAATCATCCGACTCGTTGCCGGACGAAGTAGGCGATCGGTCATCCTGGAAAGAGAAGAGTAAGACACACGATTAGTGCTGTAGACAAACAGTCTGGCCTGCTGATCTTAGGCTAAGCTTAGTTTAGGATGATTGGGAATGGGGATCGGGAGATCTCCGGTCTGCTCCGGGGCCTGTTCTATATGCCAGCCAAGTGCAGGGAGCAAAGAGACGTCGAGATGACAAAAAAATCCAATATGTTTGCACCAAATATGGCGCGAAATTGCGTATAAGTGCTGGCCAGGCTGTTCGCCGGCACGCATCTCAATGAGCTGGCGTTGCCTTAAATGTGCACACGCGTTAAAGAATTTAGAATATTGATTTCTGACTCTCCGGCGAGCGACGTGATCGGTGCGGGGCCATCGTCATCATCGTCGCATCGCCTTGGATGGCATCGGACGCGTCATTTTAATTTTGATTAGTGCCAGCAGGGGCTGAGCTCTGAACTGAACCTCTGGGACGAACAAAAAATAAATCAAAATAATTGCAAACTGTAACAATGCGATCGCCATTTTGTGCGAGGGAGATCGCAAATTGCATTGCGCATACGCCGCGTGCCCCTGCCACATCATCAGCGGACTTCCAATGAAATTGTAGCAGCAGCAACAGCAACCGCAGCGGCAGTTCGCGAAAGGCAAAATCGCATTGTTGCCGCTGACTGCTGACTAAAATGGGCGTCGTCATCGTCGACGTCGTCTGCTGCCAGCCAAGCGACTTGGCCAGTGGATCAGGCGACCGCCTTTTGAGTGACAGCACCAAGACATTTTAATTAGCAAAACCAACGACGACAAACTGTCTCCAAGTTGCCATGATATACTTGGCCACGGCAACACCAACATGTGCATGTGCAACTGTTGTTACGCTCGCGGTTTTCAGTTGCAGCAGTTGCAAGAAGGAAAAAACTAGAAGGCAGCTGAAAGGGGAGCTGCTCATGTAAAGATTACATTGTGCCCAAGCTTGCAGTTTGAGCCACGCGTAAAAGGCTTGGAATAATTCTGGTAATAGCCCTGCAATCTCTCAATAAAAACTATATGTTCCCTGCTGCTTATCTGCTTATCTAATCTATTTGCTGTTGGCAGAATTTATTTCGCAGACCTCCCAAGACGTGTGCGATTTCACCATAGTAATTGCACAATTAAAATTCGCGACACAAAAGTAATAAATAAAAGTTTTATTAAGCAAAAACATTAAGGAAGCTATTTAATTAGTAAATAAAAAAAAAATAAAAAAGTTGCTTCGCCCCCGGGTGGACTCGAACCACCAACCTTTCGGTTAACAGCCGAACGCGCTAACCAATTGCGCCACGGAGGCTGTTGGAATCCAGAAGGAAATAAACCTTTCAAGGGCTTGCTCAGCAAATACTTCCACTTGCATTATCTTGGGGGTTGATTAAGAGGTTAAGTCGTTCAGAAGGTATTATTCCGAATGCATTACAATCTGATGCATTGTAATCTAATTTAAGGGGTTGATATTATAGGAAGTGTTGCAATATACATTCCTTGGCAGTTTAAGGTGAATATAAGAAGTTATTCTTTTGGCATTTGACTTGATTATGTATTTGTGGCACCTGCCAAGATATTTGAGCTAATATTAAATACAAATTAATCTGATTTATGAGTTTTACTCGACTATTAAGATCTAATGAAGAAAATAGTGCTGTAGTAGGTTGCTGCTAGCTTATCTTTTGAGTGACTTATGGTACGTTGAGTCTTATTAAGTGGCTTAGATGATATGTTTCAATGAAGAGCCTTGCAGTTGGACTTTGCGCTTCATCAATATCCCATTAAATTTCCAGTATTGATGCAGGACGACAAATTGTTTTTTCCAACAGTTCAAACAGTTTCATCGATGGCTGCTGATACTGCTGCTGATTCTGCTGGCTCTGCTGATGGCAACTGCAACTTGCCAAATTGATAGTCGTGTGTCGTGCGCAAATGCCGAGCGTGTCTCATTAAATGACAATTAGAGTTTGAGCCTGGCTAAAAGCAAGGCAAAAAAACACAATCGGAGCGAAAACCCTGCCCCGACTCTCAACTCTCAACTGGCAATTGGCTGGATGGAATGCCAACTGGCCGGGCCAATGGCATGCAATTTATATAAAAATAATGCCTGGCATTGTCTGGCCGATCTGGCCTCGCCAGTGGTGGCTTCGGAGTCGAACTTCGAGGCTTGGAGAGCCTGCGACAAATGCAATTATATAGAAATTTGTCTTGCTGTGATATGTGCGGCATGTTGTTGTTGCCTCTACTGCTGTTGCTGCCGCCGCTGTTGTTGTTGCTACTGTTGTGTGGCCATCGGTAGCTCCAAAAATAGTCAGTTTGGGAAAGGCTAATAATAAATGTTGGCAATAGTCAGTCAGCGAGTCGTCAAAGCATTGAATGAATGAATTTTCAAATTGGCTAACTGACATTCACAACCAAGGTGGCATTTTATTTGCCCCAAAAGTGAATGCGAGTCAATTCGGTGGCCGTTGCTGATGCAGTTGCAGTTGCAACTAAAGCTGCAGCCGCCGCTGCACCACCGATCGAGTGGTGTCGTGTGACCTACACCACCGCCAACTGACTCGGCTCGGTGATTGACGGATGGCACATTTGCCAATTGATTAGTTGTTTTTACCAAAATGGTTGCTGCCACAACAAAAGGCGACAACTTTGTGGCAGTCAGCACCCGCTTCAATCGCTTGAAAGCCAGAAAAAACAAAAACAGAAGGACCCATTCTCAGTTTCAGCCGGCTGAGATCGTTCAGCATTTGGCCAATAAACATTTGCATTTTGCATGTTGTTCTCTGTGTTGTTATTGTTGCTGCTGCTGTTGCTGCTGCCGCTGCTGTTGCTGCTACCGTTGATGCCGTGTACATCTACCGACACTGATAACTTTAAGCCGAAAACAAAGGAATAGCCAAATGTGCTCTCGACTGAAGCCAGCGGGCTCCATTGATGCTGGCGCTTTCAATGAAAACATAAAAATAAAAATGCAAATTAAGGCTGGCAAACGAAAGCACTTAAATCTAACGCACAATTGCCCAGGGAACGGGCCAAGACACAACCGTGGTCCAAAAGGGTGAGAATATACGATGAAATGGGAGTTGGGCTAGGGTCAATATTGTTTTCATTGCTCATACTTTTTGTACATCATTGAAGTCAATAAAAGCCACCCTTGTCTCTATATAGGTATGTTTATTGAACCCATTTATGTTTTCAATATTTAAAAAGAACTTTATGAACTGATTGGACTTGGTAAAATGCAAAGCAGTAACCTTTCATTGAAGACTTGTAGATTGGAAATTATAGTTTTAGTATCATGTACAGTATTCATTCTAAGCAATGCTCTTTCTTGTACTCTGTATATTAAGTAAAGACAATTTCCTGAACCACTGTCCCTTGATTTTGTAGGAGGAATCACACAATCACAACCACAGGACAGGGGAGAGCATTCTGAACAGGAAACGTTGAAGCAAATGTTATGGGACGGCTGGCCAGCTTGCTGGCTTGGCTGGCTAAGCAAAATGGGGCGGCCTGGCTTGTGGAAACAAAAGCCGAAAGCTAAGGCCCAAGTCGGTTGACACGAAGCGGCAACAAGCGAACAACCAACAACCAACTGGCAACATACAACACACAGCCGCAAAGCGGGAGAAGCTACAACACTGCGTAGACATTTGCCAGCTAAACTCGGAGTTTGGCCATTTGGTCGTCTTCACAATTGTCGTCGCATCCGGGCCAGGCCACAATATGGAGTTTAAAAGCGTTTATATCCGCAAAGCAAAGCTTTCTTGCCGGCTTTCTGTTTTTGGGCAAATCACAGTTTTGTGTCGTTTTTCTGATGCGGGTTGCGGTTACACGGATTCACGCGCAAAGAAAGCGGCCAGCAGGAAGTTGGTAATCGAATGGAATGGAGTCGGGTCGTCGTGAGCCAGTCTCAATCGAGTGGCGGGTTCAAATTCATTAGTTCAGACCGGCAAACGGGAACTCGGGGTCCCGAGTCAGTTATGATGGGAATTAGCATCTATTTAAATGTCAGGGCCGCATTAAGATGCCACGATTGGCCGGGAGTACGAAAAACGAGCTTATTGTTTTCAGTTACCAATTATTTGGCTAAATTGCGAGGGGTAACCTGCTACTTATGCACTCGACGAAAAGTGTTCTTTTATATATTGGAATAGCTTAGATTATGTATCTAATAAAGTTGATTTACTACCAGTGTTTATTTGATATTGATCACGGAATCTTTCAATGTTATGAAGTCCAAAAAATATATTACATTCATTTCCCGCAGTGCAGAAGCCAAAACGATTGTCCTCAGGCCTAATTATGCGTGCGCCGACAGGCGAACAAGAGGCAACAGGACAGCAGGCCGCAGATGAAACGCCACCGATTAGCCTGTGCCGCTCCCTCTGTCCACTCCCCCGGCCGTCGGAGGAGAGCCCCCTACCCCAGTTCCCGCAATTTATGATGGGCACTAACAACCACAAAACTAGCCAAACAAATGAAATGGAATTGGACACAAACCGGCGGCGAACAAACAGTTGAATGGAAATTGCAATTATACGAATACAAGATCTCAACTCGGAGTATGTTAAGTGACTCGAAGGATTGGAGGGGGAGGCTGATGTGGGTGCCCAGACAAACTGAGTTCGATGTTTAGCAAGATTTAGCTGGGCCGAAGGAGGCTCCTAACTAGCTAAGCAATCTGGAGACGGTGACAGCGATTAGACTCTGGAAAGCCCATTGAATGCTTGTTATGTAATTTTAGACAAAAGGTGCACTACAGGGATATTTATAAATCAAATTTCAATTGTTGCTTTGGTCATTAAAGAGTGATTAAAATTGCAGAAAGACTGTGTAGGTAGTTATTAGGCTAGCTTAGGGATTCATGTAGGGAGTATCTTAAATGGCTTAAGAATCAAAAAACCACAACTTGGACGAGGTATCATTTGAAACATTAGTTATTGAAGCAGACTAAAGTAGCTAAATAACGGATGTAGAAAACCCAGTTTAATACTTTTATAA